AGATTGAAATTGAAGCCTTTTATTCAAGTTTTTTTTTTGTCAATACAATGGATTGATTTAATGAAGCGTTGTTGGTTAAGTCAAAAGGATCATTTACTTTTCTACTAAAGAAACAGTGTCTTGTTGGTAGGTATAAACTAGTGTAGGTTGATAGAACGTTTGTTATTGGCTTATCCTTCATTATAATATAATCAATATGCTGGGCATATTAACCGTTAAAATTGCAGATGGTTGCATAATTTATGTCCTATGGCCGCCATACACACATTGATACGTCTACCAAACTATGAAAGCGTTGTATAATGACCACGAGATGTAGTTATAGTAAACTAACGAAAACGATAATTGGTAGTCAGTGGCGTAGCGAGGTCGGGTGTCACCCGGTGCGGCACTTAATGGTGTCACCCCCCAGAGGCGTAGCGACCCTTCTCGGGAACAAACTTTCAATTTTCGATTTGCACTATTGATTTGCACCTCTTAAAAGACTATTTAACACTAGAATTAATCACTTAATTAAGTGGGATTATCATTTTTCTCTATATAGTTTGCTATTTTTTGCCTTGGTGTCACCCCCCTAAATGGTGTCACCCGGTGCGGTCCGCACCCCCCGCCTCCCCTCGCTACGCCACTGTTGGTAGTTCATGGCAAACATTTTTACATAATACTAGTAAAAGTACAGAAGTTCGCGAGACAGCCTAGTATATTTTCCACCTATTGATAAATATTTTCTAAGTGGTACTGCACAAGCTAAATTAATATACATTTTACTATTAAAACGGAGTTTTTAAATTACTTTAATATTCCCTTTTTAGCAGTTTCTAAATCATTATTTTTAAAGAAAATATCATTTTTAGTGTCATAATATGTGTATTATCAATAGCTTCCCCCCACCCTTTACCGTCCCAAATAAAAAACACTTTTGTAGAAGATATTTTAAACATTTCTCTCCCCTACTCCAGATGTTTAATAGGCCTTAGTAAGCCAAATGTCGGCTACGGGTTGAGAACGTCATATGATAGGGCCCCACGACCAAGTAAATCAAATGCTGTACATTACGAACTAATAATACACTTTAAATCATTATGTAGATCTACTCATGGGCCTTAATTAAGGTTTGTCGATTGTTATTTTAAAAGTGTGGCAGTATAAAATAAAAAGTATTGTGTAGATACAAACAATATGGTTAATAATGTCGAACAAAGGTGTGTGTTCTCAACCAATTAAGTTTACATGTTTTCCACCGCCGCGTTAGAAATAGGCCGATGAATCAGACTGCTAAATAAGAAAGAATGGCGCGCAACATAATGAGTGCAGAGCCATTAAAACTGTCAGGAAGATTTACACCATTAAACCCCAACCGGGTATCTTTCCTATGTAAAAAAAATAACATCAAACAACACGATCAGGGCACAGTGTTATCGACCCAAGGCAAACGTGCGCTCGCCTTATGCACTTACACACTATGGCTTTATACACAGCTAGTAGAAGCTCGTTGCCGAAAAAAAATTTAATTACTTTTTTAAAATGAAGGGGCCGTTTTCTATAGTAAAGATAAAGGAATCACACAGAAACATTTAACTATGATGGCGTACATATATAATGCTACAAAATGTTGGCAATTTTACAACAAAAAGGCCAATGCCCCCCCCCCCCCCCCCCCCCCAAGAACATTCCTACCCTAATGGATAATCATAAGCGGTTACCTATGTATGATATCCACAAATAATTTGAATTAATTTTAGAACCCCCTCCTACCCCTATATGTTCACACACATTTAATAGACCAGACCCCTCAAAACCTAATTCCGATATAGGAGTCTACCAAGTCAACAATTCCATGCGTGGGAAAAACAATTTTGCAATTTTATTCCGTATGTCTGTGTGTGTATGTGTGAATGTATGTCAGTGAACACGATAACTTGAGTACCGTTACAGCTAAGTTGATGAAATTTTGTATATAAGTATTATATCAAATTTGTAGCTCTGTATCAACTTTTCAGCTATTTCCGATCACCGGAAGCGGACCTTATTTTATTTTTGGTTTTTCAAAAGCCTATAATTTGAGTACTGTTTCAGATAGATAAACGGAATTTCACATATAAGTAAAAGATCTAATTCTCCGCCTTCTTTCAAATCGTGAGTAATATCCGTTGAACGGAAGTAGTACCTCACTCCTATTTTCGATATCTAGAAAAAACGCATATAAATTTATAAAGTACTAATATTCCGAACTAGTATGCACATATTGTTTGCCGTTCAGTGTTTAACATAATATTTGAATGATGTTTTTAAAGTAAAAGGATTCTTTTCTATAATAATTATCCCTGTTTTTGTTTTGATAATTGTTCTCTTAACGAAGAGGTGCTAGTCTATCAACTTAGCTCAGGGGTTGTCTATAAATTGCGTCACATTCACAGGGGAAGAGGGGTTCGTAATTTTGTAACCTTATGTTGATGGGGAGGGGTTCAGATTTGTATTTGAAAAAAGTTGTGTTAAAAACTGAATTTTAGCGTTTATTTTGCGTTTTCAGAAATTAGTTTTGATACATTTATTAAAATACTCTATACTGACCGAGTTCAGTATCAAAGTTCTTCCTAAGTGGAAAAAGGTAGTGTGCAATGTGTATTCTGTGTGTCTTATACAAGTATATATTTAGTATTTTACAAAGTGACTGCGCGGCTGGTTCAAAACTACTGCGCTTCTGCGCAGCCGCGCAGCGTGGAGGGAACATTGCTCAGTATTATAAGATGTGTTTAAAAAATTCAATTTTGAGGGAGGTTGTAGGCTAAGATGTTACGTCATTTTAGGGGGGGGGGGTCTGGTTTTTTGTGACGATGTGTAACGGGATGGGAGGAGGGGAATGTATAAATCGTAAAAAAGCCTACAAACCATAGATTTTGGAAATTGCCCATTGGGCTGAGGCAGAGCCGGCGTTAGGGGTACGTGGGGCCTATGGCCAACCATCCGCGCGGGGCCTTATATTTTTTCATTGGTGTCTAAAACATGTACAGTGAGGCGTTTTTTTTTCTTCTCAGCACGAATTAATAATTATAACGATATATATGGTATTTTTAAGCTGCTTATCAATGTCGTATTAACATTAAGACACTGATTAACAAATAATTTGTTTACTTAGAAGTGCTTTTGAAACGTTGCTTGTTTCTGTTAAGGCTTTTTGTTTGAAAAGTAAAAAAAAAAACATATAAGTTTGAGACACGCATTAAAGAGACGATGAACGTCAGCTTCAAACCTGATTTTTTTACATTATTGTTTATTTAGGAAAATCTTACCAGTACGTTCACAAACGAAGTGGCATTCAAAGTGTGTGGATGCCGGGGAAAATAGAAAAACATTGATAGATTTCGGAATAAGCTCGAATCATGAAAAACACTGTTTACGGCTATAGATATCCAAATGAAATGACTCTCAAATGTAATAACGGACGCTCAGTAAGGTGGAACACTGGAAGGGGGGGGGGTGACAGTTGGTGGGGTTAGATGAAGGATAACTGTACATTTAAATCTATGGGATGCCAAACCCTAAAAGAAAAATCAGTTAGGGTACGACGTTACTGGATCTCTGACCGCGGCCATTCAAGAGAAGGTGCGTGTTTATAAAGCGTCCACATATTACATTACAGATTAAGACCGCGTTCTCACAAGAGAAGGTCCGTGTCTATAATTAGTGAACCATGTGACAACCAGCTTCACCTTATTTATGAGTTTCGCGACGGCATGCTCGGACTGCCGGTAATTTAGACGTTTGAGAAATCAGGAGAACTTTACCATAAAACAGTCTCAGCCCGATGTATCAAACAGTATAGACTTTATAATTTGTTTAGGATGCCTACACTATTTTAAAACAATGATCACTACGGCATTAACTATTATACCGAATATCCCTACAATTAATTAAAATAAACATGTGCTTAATCACTTTACGAATACCGTTAAAGTTTACCAAAATGAAAATGGACATAATTACTGTATAAAAGCCCTTCACAAATATAAAAATAAATACAAGTATAATGTATTTAAAGATGACCTGACAATATATAAAACGAGTATGAACATAATTACTGTATGGATGTCTATCAAACGTATCGCGGTGAATAATCTCAAAAGATGCCCATACAGTGTATACATTATGATTTTAGGGATAAATACTCTGGATTTCCGGGGCATGTCCCCATCCGCTCTCCCCCCCCCCCCCCCCCCCTCATCCTCTGCAAGCCATCATCAGGTCACTGACTGTTTACTACAGACACTCCCGCCTGCTCACTAAAAAAAAAGCCTTCAACGGGGTCCGCATACAATAGTGTATCACTTTACGTGTTTTTCCCGATTTTACCTCCCATGTCAGGTCGGGGGCCAATTCGCGACGGCCATCTCCAGTCACCTCAGGACAATTGCGAGTCGACCGTGCCAGCGATGTGTGACACTAATGTCTTTCTTTAGAATAACGGTCTGTCCCAGTCCATGTAGAGGATAACTCACTAACAACAGCCGTGGCCTCAGTTTTAACATCCAACAATTTCGGCCATTTAGTTTTTTATTTTATTTAATTCAGCAAAATTATTTAAGTTTACAAACTAATTCAGGCAACAATGGCGTTGCTAAAGCGCGGGGCCTCTTCAAGCGCGGGGCCTGGTGCGACCGCCCCGTTTGCCACCCTCTAACGCCGGCTCTGGGCTGAGGGGTGGGAGGGTAGGGGGTGAGGGTTAAACTCGACATTACCTTTAAAACGTAGCCTATACATTTTGTTGTATGCAGGTAAAAACATTTTTTATCATATGTGGTTACGGGTGACCAGAAAGATGCGCAAATGGAAAACTGCGCACAAAAAAGTGCGTGGCTGTCTCCACTTTGAATCATCCTCCCCTCCACATACGAGGGCAGTCTCACCACAGTACGCCCCTCCCCTCATCATTGGGTGGCTACCTCTCCACCTTGCATCCCCCTCATAACGCATGCACACACGAGCAATGCTATACCCCTGACCCATGACAGATACGACCGTTAACGCCAATTCATTTCACAAGCTTCGAGCTGGATGGTAGGCCACTGAGCTATACAGTGGATACCACAAACACTAAACAATACAGTTAATAATAACAGAGACACTCGCAGGTATCTATGTTTCATACTTTTTATTTAATCAAACGATGTTATTACAAAGGCTATGGAAGCAAATCCAAAAAGAAAAGCAGGCTGAAATCGGAGTCAATGGCCTCAATGGCGCATAACCAGTTGACACGTAACGCTTAATTGTGTTGGAGGCGTGGTCGAGTCGGCAAAAAGCTCATGGTTGATAAATTCGAACAAAGTCTCGAGTTCAAACCCACTGGCAGATAAATCTCGATCCCCTTCAACACTAATAATTAAGAACGAAGAAGAAGAAGAAGACTTTGTAGATTCTACTTAGTTTTAGCTAGTTAGAACATGAAAAGGCGTTACTTGATCATTGTTAGTAAATGTTAGGCTACCTGTTGTGTGGATTATCAAGTTATATGGGCCCTATAGACGCCTCTCTCTCCCCCTCTCTCTTTCTGTCTCTCTCTCGTATATATATATATATATATATATATATATATATATATATATATATATATATATATATATATATATATAGTGGGGAACGGCATTTCCCCCCTGTCAATTACCCCCCGGATATTTCCCCCCAGACATTACCCCCCAGAGTAATTACCCCCCTGTCAATTACCCCCCTGTCAATTACCCCCCGCCCAGTAGGACATTACCCCCCCCCCCCCCCGGACAGGGTTAGGGCTAGGTTTAGGGTTAGGGTTAGGGTTAGGGTTAGGTTTAAGTTTAAGTTTAGGTTTAGGTTGAGGGTTAGGTTTAGGTTTAGGTTGAGGGTTAGGGTTAGGTTTAGGTTGAGGGTTAGGGTTAGGTTTAGGGCTAGGGTTAGGGTTAGGGTAAGGTTTAGGGTTAGGGTTAGGGCTAGAGTTAGGGTTAGGGTTAGGGTTAGAGTTAGGGTTTGGTTTTAGGGCTAGGGTTAGGGCTAGGGTTAGGGTTAGTGTTAGCATTTGGATTAGGGTTAGGGCTAGGGTTAGGGTTAAGGTTAGGGTTAAGGTTAGGGTTAGGGTTAAGGTTAGGTTTAGGGCTAGGGTTAGAGCTAGGGTTAGAGCTAGTGTTAGGGTTAGGGTTGTGTCTAGCTTTGGTTTTGGTTTTGTGTGAAGTTTCAGGCTAAGGTGGATGCTTAGGTTTTGGTCTTTTTCTTAAGGTTTGGATTAAAGTAGTATATAGGTATAAAATTCTAGTTAGGATTTTAACTTGAGAGGGGGGGGGGGGTAATTCCCCGGTGGGGTAATTGACAGGGGGTAATTGCTCCGGGGGGTAAATACGGGGGGGGGGGGGGAATGTCCGGGGGGAAATATCCAGGGGGGTAATGTCCTGTAGCCATATAGTGTAGCCCCTGTAGTTTGTATATTAAGTTAGTGTGTTTTATCACTGTTCTACGCGCCGTTTGTTACCATCGAGTTGTACCAAGTTTTGTTGGCCCATTATAATAATAATAAATAAACCCATGTGTGAAATACTGACTTGATTTAGATTACACCTACCGTACACCATGAAGTCGAACTCAATAAATAACTATGGCCAGTACGCCCCCGAGGTATTTTAATTTAAATTGTGAATGTTCACATGAACCCCTACCACAATCGCTCCCTCCCTATTAGTCCAAGATGAATCGTCTTTGCATGATCGCCTCCCCCCCCCCTCTCTACTCTTGGCCTGTTAAATACGTCCCGTTTATTAAAAAAAAATGCTCCGTCACCCCCCCCCCCCCCCCCCATCTTCGTGGTATATTTCGTAAGAGCCTCCTCTCTACCCCTTCCCCCTTTGTTTCGTTTGCCATCTGACACGAACAATCCCTTAATCGATTGTCTGGCACGCTTTAGGCTAACACAAGAACAACATTTTAAGGTGCCACATAAAATATGGGAGTAAAAAAAAATCTTGTCTAGTTTGAACGCGGCCGAGATCAGCCTAAACATAGGCCTATAATAAATATTTTTAAAATTTGCACTGTTGTGTCAACATTAAAACAGTATAGATCCATTTAACGGTAGGCTTTCTACATGATTAAGAAAGAAAAGTTATTTATTATTTAATGAAAGCCAAAGAGGAAAAAAAAAAATGTTTCCATGATTTGCTGTTCTTTTTCCACTTTTAAAAAAAAATCTTTCCCTACAGATAGGCTACAACATTGCAGTATCATATTTAAACATGTACCCACTCTTAGATCTTTGTTTAGGGTTAGAATTTGGCTTATTAAGTCTCTAGATCTAAATGATGATTGTTTTTTTAAATATTGAGCGATAAATATTTACTTTGGCCATGATGATTTATTTTTAAATATTGAGCGATAAATATTTACTTTGGTCATGATGATTTATTTTTAAATATTGAGAGATACATATTTACTTTGGCCAAAGAGTATCCCCTTCCACCCTACCGTTCTGATGTAAATCCTTCCCATTTACCTTGGTGAAAAAGCGTCCTCACTCGAGATACCCACCCACCACTTTTTTTCTAATTTTTCTGTTACACAACACAATTCTTTTTTTTTCCCTTAGTGTTAAAAGAGTTATCTACTCACCACTTCAGAGTTAATTCTTCCGATTTTAGTCGGCGAAAAAGAGCACCCCCCCCCCTCACCTCCCATCTTGGAAAAAGTTGGAACGTGGTTTTTGCCGGTCACTATTTCTTAATGGTATTTGTTTTGCACTAGTGTAACACATATCATGGTTACCAGTCAACCTCAGTGGGTAGTATCATACCTACTGAGGCAGTGTTACACTAGTTACACAATCAAGGTAGAAAACAGTTAAATCAGTATTTTAAATTTTAAGGCTCGTATTACAGCCGTTAAATTTCTTAACTTTGACTGTTTATAATTCAAAACTTCAGCTAAAATGAGTTTTTTTCTTTGCTCAACCCCTTTTGCACCCCCCCCCATATGTACCCCCCCCCCCCCCCCCCCAATTCTCGCTACGCCTCTGGTCTTGACCCATGCAAGCTTCAGAGAAATTGGTCGGTTAGAAGTTGTCAAAATTTCGCTCGTCAGTTTCGATTCATGACGAGCTAAGCACGGCAGACAGAGAAAGCAAGAAAAATTAAAGCTTGTAGATAGGCCTAAAAGTAAAAGCTTTTGTTGGGTACCTAGAAATCTATGTAATGTAATGAAACATTGTAGCCTAAAATAGTGCTTAGTTCTACAAAAAATAACCTAAAATTTGAGATCAAAGGGGAGTCTACTCTAAAAAATAGTATTTTACAGATTGTCTATGTTTATAATTTCAAGATTTAAATCTTCAACATCGCCGTTAAAAGTAAAATTTCAGGACATTTTTATTAATTCGGCCGACAGTGATTGGTAGATCTAGATTTTAATTTATTATTAAAATTATACTTAGGCCTACTAGACTCTAAATTACTCTAAAAGAATTTAAGAAAGTGGTGTATGAAATGATCAGAAATACCGAGACAGTCAGTTACCCAACCGTAACTCAGCTGCGGCAGCTGTTAGTGTTACTCACTCTCACTGACTGTAACTGGTCTGTAACTGTTACTGTGTCAGACAGTGTCACTAACTTAAAGTCTTAAACTACTAGATTCTAGATTCTACTAACTAGTAACTAAATCTGTCGAATTAATTAGACTAAATCTAGATCTAGATCTACGTCTTCTTATTATTGTAGTGTAGTATAAATTCAATTTTAAATTGTACTTTATTACTTAAGACAGAGTGAGAGTACTTAAGACTTAAAGTTAATCTAGATATAGATCTAGATCTAGATATCTATCCTAGATAAAGATAATCTAGATCTAGAAATCTAGAACAATCTAGATCTAGAATCTCATACACAAATGACATACAGAGTTGTTAGAAATCTACTGTTAGAACTCTCTACTGCTAGGCCACACCTTCCCATCATTGATAACTTAAAATTAGTTGAAGCGTACAACTGAACCACACAATCAGGTCTAGATCTAGTAGTGTGATAGTATCATTCTTTTTTAAATTCTAGTTGCAGTTCATCTGAAGATAACAATTCAACCTCAGTAGCGTATACAGGGGGAGCAGCCACTCTCCCTACGACCATTTTAATGATAGTGGTGCCTTTTTCGGAGAATAATTAAATAACATTTTAACAAGTTCCTCAAAACACAAAAAAATCAACAACAGCAAACACAAACTGAAACTGTGAATCAAAGAATTCAAAACTGTCATGTTATGTACTCTAAATATCACATTTTTAATAACTCATCGCAAGTTTATGTACAGCCTACTTCTTGACTCGCTTTGGCTCCTAGCTCAGCGCATGTGCAAGGCGCTTTTTTGTTTTGTTCTTTTGTTTTCTACAGAGTACTTTTTGAGAGTTTACACTGTAGCGAAGCAATGACATACAGCTAGTATATATATATATATATATATATATATATATATATGACGCCTTTTCCTCGACTGGCCGCTCCCCCTAACCCAAAAACCTGTCTACGTCTCTGTTCAACCTACAATGAATGATAATTTATATAAATGTAGACCTATCTGCCTACTAAACTGTAACTAAATATAGGTTACATAGAGATATATATTTAAGATCTATTACTATTATGCTACTCTATGCCAAGGGCTATAGGGGGCCTAATAGTAACATGAACTATTAGTTAGCACAAAATATTGATTGTAATTGGAAGTAGTTCTCATCTATTTAATTAAGAGTTCAACATTTTGCTGTTGTTAATTGTGAATTACAGATTATTGCAAATATATTTTATAAGGCTGCTTATTGCTTAACCCTTTCCCCGGCAACATATTTGGTACCCTGTCCCCGGCAACTGGGTGGATCACACCCAAAGACTTTCTTATAGTAAATTCTTTTCTTTGTTCATTGTGGGGTGGGTAACAATACTGACACAGTTAAGGTATTCAGGGCACAGAGGCCAAAGGGAACACAAGACATGTTGTTGTCAATGGGAGAGCTGTAATATGATACTACAGGTTGATGGGATTCTCAAGCAAGAGTTAACCTGTGGGTGGACACATGTAGTGATTTATACTCTTTGCTGGAGCTCTGACTTGCAGTTACAGACAGAACTGTAGTTTAGAGTTACAATAGGTTAATGAAATGCAGGGGTAAGATTGCCTGTGGGAGGACATATATAGTGATTTGTACTCATTTAGGGAGCTCTGGAATGTAGATAGAGACATTCGAGCCTTTTAGAGTAACTTGACATTAACCTCAGTAGGAGTACGAATGAGGACAAAAAGGCAAAACTACTTTGTAAAGCTGTTTGAAAGTTAACACTGGGCAATTAATTGATCAAACTGGGATAGGGGTGGGTGTTCTACAGGTTGTGACCCTGAGAGTAAGGTTTATAAATAGTCACAAACGTTATTGAGAACACAACAGAAACAAGTCTTGAACGCTTTTGTCTAAACTCAAGTGCTAATGATAAAGGAATATATTTGCCAGTTTTAGTATAGCAGGTGAAAATGACCAAAAGTTTTGAGTCTGAACTATTAGTATCAGAGGTAGAAGATGAAGAATGGCAGCCATCAGTATCAAGCAGCTCTGATGACCAGGTCTACCCAATATACTGCATTTCAACTATCAATAATGTGTCAACAGTTGGCACTCATAATGAAATGAAATGGCTGGTGCAAAGTGAAGAAAAAGAAATATTTTCAGGAAAGACAAAGTAACAGTACACTAGACCACTGTCTGAAGTGCTAATCCCAGGAAATTTATAAACAGCCTGACCCAAAATATTTCTTCTGTGCATGAGTACAAAAAATAATACAACCAATATTTGACTGCATTAGCAGGGATGAAGAGAAAGCAAGAGGAAACACTGGCACTCTGCAGAATAACAATTTAGTTGTATGTCAATTCAGTTCTGCTTATAGAAGTTTTTGAAGGCAGAATTTTCTATGAAGAAATTCAGCAACCTTCTGGGTCATATTCACTTCACAACAATAACACTAACAGTCCATCAGGCTCATGGTATATTTGCTTCCATTATGGTAGATATTCCATTCAAATTTAGAAAGGTGTTATGTTTCTTGAGAGATCATTACTAATTAGCAAGTGGTTGATTTTAGAGGTGGGAGTAGATTTATCCAATACATACCAAGCAATTCCGATAAGTATGGAATTAAAATATTTTGTCCTGTGACTCATGTAACACCACTAAAAGGGTGCCCATATTTTATTAAAAAAAAACTTAAGTTCCCTGCCAGCAAAAGGAAATGTCCAGTTATTTTAATTTTAACTAACGACTGTGCTCTCTGAAGTGCAAATTATTAAAACGTGTTAATGTTCTATTATTTTATTACTAAAGTTGATTAATTCAATCCTGTTTGATATTTTTGTTACTCAAATACCTTCAGATTGTTAATTTATAGTTTAACTTTGAAAATGTAACACAATGACTTAACCCACAATGAGTAAAAACAAATTGTTAGAAGCCAGTTTATAAGTTATAAATATTTTTTTTCCATTCAAAATTGTGTATGGGTGTGTAGCACCCAGTTGCCAGGGACCGTATAAAAAAATTTCAAACCCTCATAAAAAAATTTTTTACGCATATTTTTAAAATTTACAACCTCCAATGTGTTCATCCCAACCAACTTATAGATGGGAATGAGGCCCAGAAAAATTTATAAAACGAGACTCGAGATATGAGCAAAAATATAGCGACTTCGGGTCGATTACACCCAGTCGCCGGGGAAAGGGTTAATGATTAGCTTACATTTTGAATGTATGTTATGTTATAGACATTTTTTTTTCATGCAGAACCATGCCTCCAAAAGGGAAACCCAATGGATTTTATATGTTTATGCTCTCAGAGCAGAATAAAATAAAACAAAAAACCAAAATAGCCCCCAGTATGAAAGACATGCCGAAGTTATGCATTGATGCATGGACGGTCAGTATATTGATAGATATATTAGATTAGAGTTGTAGATCTATGTTTAGATCATCAGATGCAAAATATAAACTTCTGGTTGAATCTTGTTAAATGTATTTTAGGCCTGTGAATCTTTATTTCAATACCACTTAAAGAATAAATAAATTAAAGATGTTTTGATGATTTTTTTTTTACAAATTTGAATACTAGCTCAATTGTCCAAATAATACTGCTGGAAGAATAACTAAAGCCTTTATGTATTTCAGTCCATTTACAAGTTACAATGTTATCCATTGAAGACTTGATTTCATGCAGTATTTGGATAATAATTATCACTGTTAGTGTTATTATGTTTTTTAATTTAAAAGCATTGTAATATAAAATTGTATTCACAGGTTTTGCCAACGGAAGAGAAGCGTAAATATGAAGCTCTTGCAAAAGGACAAAAATCAATAGTAAAGCTGGATAATCAGCGCCAAATAATTTCTGTATGTGTCATTTATGGTTTAGTTCTTGATGTTTTTTTTTTTAAAGAAAATGTTCAAAAATATTAAAATGTAAAATTGCCAGGAGATTATTTCTTCTTTATTCTGTAGGATAGGCAAGATCCGGCAAAAATTGAGGCTACCAGAAGAGCAGAGGAATCCAACCAAATGCTGATGAGCTGGCAAAACCGAGGTTTGTTGATGTAAAGACTTAAAAGGGAGTTTATGGTTGCGTTCATAGATTAATTAATTTCAAGTTGGCTTAGCGGCAGACATTGTCACCAAATACTAACAAAAGCATTTGACTGAACTTTTCCTCTTTCTTTAGATGTGCGGCTGGTACCTTTCCACTTGATAAATTTTCAAGTAATGTACGATGAAAGAACACCTGAGGATGAGCATTTGCCAGTTGAAATAGGTCTAGTATCTTTTACATTAAAAAATGGAATACAAAAAGAACTGCACAGGTTCATCGACCCTGGTGATGTTCCTGAAGGCAATAGAAGAATAGCTACTGAATACAGTGAGTGAAATTGTAAATGTCTCAGAATTTCAATTTAGAATTAAAAGACACAAACTCACAAACATGTAGGACCAACAAAAAAACTCTAAAATTATTATCATGCTTAAAACTGTAAGAAATAGATTTCAGTAACTTGTTGAGATTTACACATGAGCACTGAAGCATCAGAATGAATTACAATTACCATCACCAATGGTAAAAGTTAACATTTAAAAACTATTTTTTAAGTTGTCAAATCTATTTGCTTATTCTTTACTTCACTTAAAAAACATTATTCAACTTGATAGCATCCTGGATAACTTTTTGTAAATAAACTACTTTGAATGAGTAATGTGAAATTAGGGAAATTAAAGGAGGCTTGACATAGTGCTGACCACATAATCCCTTCATATGCAGAGAACACTGAAACAGGTGAATGCTATTTCACCTGCCCCATGGACTGTGAGGTTTGAATTTTATTTACCATAGAGACTTTGTACACTTTCTAAAAACTTTTTACTTGCAAGGTGAACAGTTTCACAGAATTCCTATTGGCTACTCAAAAGGAGAATCAAACTTTTGGAAACTCTGGAGGGAGATGGAGGACTTCCTACAAATTGAAAAAAGTGATGACTTAGCTCCTCTGTTCTGCTTAGTGAGTGTTTTTTTTAAATTTATTTTGTAATTGGTTTTTTTTACTGGGGATAAAAGAAATCTGTTTTTATAAATGTAAGTTAAAATATTGTAATGCTGGAAAAAATATTTTTTTAGCAATACTTAAAAGTGAGATATAATGGTAAGGTTTACAAAAAAAATGTTGCTGTCTTGTTTCAATTATTGGTTATAATTTTATAAATGACGTGCTAAAAATAATATTAAAAGTAATTATTATATAGCTAATTGGTTTTGGGATTATTTATATTTGTTTTGTTGTACTTTAATTGGATCCATGGAAAAACAAGTAATACTATATTTGTAAACTGCTCTTATGAAACCTTTTACCATATTTTAGGGTACACATCGAGAAGTAATAGAGAACTGCTTGGAGTTTGTTCACGCTAGGAGTGGTGAACTCAACAGGATCTATAAGCTGTACTGCATAGAAGATCTAATCATGTGCTTGATGTCAAAGAAAACCAGCACAAAGCCATCAGAGTCTCAGATATTAGATACTCTCCAGATGAATAGGTGGGACTACACCAGCAGCATTAGGTAGGCCTGGCGGGTTATTTTAGGTTTTAACGTTTAAAAAAAAAGAAGCAAAAAAGGAGTATTCCATTCACTCTTCACTCTTCTAGCTAAAGGAGCTCTTCAGTCAAAAAGGGAAAAGCAATTTTAAAAGTTGATTCTCCTTAGGGCACATGTTTCTATTGTTATGACATATAAAAAGATAGTGGGGTCAATACTTTTTAAGAATGTATTTAGAAAGCCTGTCAGAAACCTATCCAACAAATGGCTCTTTTCAAATAAGCTTTTAAATGGACTGAAAATAATAAAATAAAATAAATTTGTTTTGTTATCGCTAGTATTTTATCTTGTTATCTTCCCTTTTATTATTAAACATAATCCTTTAATTAAATTTGAAGGGCTTATATAATGGTTAATTAGATTAAACATTAAATATTTTTGAATTGTCATTGGAGACGGATAAATCTGGAAAGTTTGAACAAAATCTCTGCATTAGGAGTTAATCAAAACTGAGTTATTAGATTTGTTACAAACCCACAAATAAACAAACATTGCAAGCTAAATATTAGCTTATAAAAATTTCTGGTTTTTCATCAGATGTGCTTTTCATGAAGAGGTTGATAGCAGCTTCTGTGCTATCTCCATTGTCAAGAGATACAGGTAAATAAAAAAGTTGCTCTACTAAATTACACATTGAAATCTGCTCAAAGCTATTAACTAGATTTGGTAGCTTTGTCAGTTAATTACCTTGACATTTAAGAGCAGTGAAATGATGTTCCTATGATGGGTTTATTCAACAACATTCTTCTCTACTATTCTAACTACCTGAATGTAAGAAATTTTGTAGTCAGTATGTTTTTTGGTGCAAATGGTTTTTTTGGAATGCACTTGTCTCTTATAAATATAGTTAACAGAATCTAGCAATCAAACCGCGTGTAAAAGGAAAGTATCTTTTTAGGTCTGGCATTGTAAGGTTTATGAAGTAGAGTTGATCTGTTTCTATGACCTACACATTTGAAGCAATGAGAACCAGATTTAGAGGCTAGAGTTTGTACTATTCAGTCACACATCCCAAACTGTATGATTTTGTCTACTGCAACTGGTTGTTTGTACTCATATTTTTTGCTTTGTTTTCCTAAAGACTGAATAAATTACTGAGTATAAAAATGTATTTTTCCCTCGACAGTTTTGTTATTTTTGATCTCTTGTCGAACCTATTAGAGTTTAGTTTAACACAAAACCACATGCCAGATGAAAGGAAGGCCAACTTCACTGTTGTGTCATCTTTTGGAAAATCCAGAGGTAAATCAGTCTTTCTACTAATCTCATTTATAATAAATTTGTACCCTCCTAATCAGTGTTGGCAAACTGATAGTATGAATATTGTCATCAAATTGTAATTATCCTATTCAGCTAATCAATATTATAATTTTGTTCTTTTGCTCATTATCAAAATGTCTTTAACTAAGGATTAATTAAATTAGTGAAACAAAATAAATGAATTAGTGAAGAACATAAAAAAAAATGTTATAGCTCAGAAATTATATTAAAAACAAGAAGAGACTTTTTGTTAGATAGTAAGGTAAATCAAATAATGTGTAATATTGGATATGCCACTTCATTCATTCTTAATCAACCTGGCCCCTAAATTTACAGGACTAAGTAGTTCTAATAAACATCAAATATTAATTTTTAATATTTTCTTCTTTGTTTTTTTTTACTAGAATTTGACAAACCCAGAAGGAAACTTTCACCTCCTCCAACTTATGCAGAGCTAGCATCCCAGAAGTCTAGTCTGACCAGTGTCAAATCATGGGACGCAGAACCTAAAGATTATGTAAGTCAAGTATTCATTGAATATATTGGACAAGCTAAATCCTGGAAAAAAAATTATTTACATCAATGTAAACTGACTTATTTCAAAATCTCATAAAAATATTTTAACATTGCGTTAGCTAAATGTGTGAAAAATTCAGGTAAAATTCATCAAACAATTGTGTAATATTTCTGTCAGAAAGAAGAGAGTGATGAAGAAGAGGATAACGGGAGTAAAACAAGGGAAGTGTTTCTCAAGGAGTTAAGAAAACCAAAAACACCATGTAAATATTTTTTTGCTTGCATTGTGTTTTGAAATTTGTATTAGTAGAGATTAGTTTTTTTTTACCATAAAAAAATATTCACTTTCACTGTTTTCATCCTAATATATTTTTTCAGCATTGATACAAGTTGCACAACAAGACACAGCAGCATGTAAGTGGCAGTGTTGTTTTAGAATTACCCGTTATGATCTGCCATGATTCACATACTATTAATAATAATTTTAAATGTTCTACGTTGTATGTAATTTTTGGAGTCATTTTTCAGCGGGGCTTATGAAATCCCTTGGTAGAGGTGCAACAGTGGCTTGTTATGAAGACATTAGATGTCAGATTCCGAGTGGAGCGGCACCCCCTGGCTTAACTAGGGCCCCCCCAGGCTTAGATATGGCTCCCCCACCAGGCTTACCTAAGGCACCAGTAGGCAGAGCTGCAGTACAAGCAGGTTGTGCCATAGCACCACCACCTGGATTTGATTTTAAGGTACGGGTAAAATTTTAACCTTTGCTAACAAGTGCTGAATAAATGTTCTATCTTAAATTTAGATTTAAAACAAACCATTTAGAGTAAACTATTGAGCGCTATTGTGTATTTTATCATGGAAAACAATCGTGATTTTCATTTTTTTTACTTTCCCTGGCTGCTCCTGTTGACTTCAAGGAGTTGAAGGCTGTTTATTAATATATTTGAATTGATAAAATAATTGTAAATGACTTTTTCAATGACTTCATTACAAAAATATGAACATGAGTGTAATCAGTGGTTCCTAAACATCTTTTTTCTTTTTAGAAGTCGAACTATAATTTTATTGCTTGCGATATTTTTAAAAATAATTTTTTAAATTTTTAGTTATTATAACAGATTTTTCAAACCTATTGTGTAACAATGACTGGTAAAAAGTGACTGCAACCTTTTGAAATGGGATGGGGTAGTTTTTGATACTGTAAATAAGTGAATAACTATAATAAAGGCGAGTGGGATTTGATAGCTGGTCCCAGTCACCAGAGTGGGTCACCAGAGTGGGTCACCGGGCCTCTGCTGATTTCCCAGACTCATTTCATGTAACCCACAGAACTGGTGGAGTCCACGACGACGTCCAATGCACTCAGACATTTATTGTAGCAGTTTCTGCCTTCCTTTTATTTAATAGGCCCTACTATATTCATGTTCAAATTTTTTATTGAATTTGTTTAATGCATCTTTGATTATACCTGAACTTATTTTGGATTTAATTGTAGAAGAGTTACAGAGATTCAAATAATGAACCCCAAAGCCAAGCTACTAGACAGATGCCAGAGTTGATGGGGAGGGGACGAGGCACTCGCCCAGTTGCTCCAGTAGAAGCCTACCGTGGTCGAGGACGGGGAATCCCACCCCAGGTCCGCCCTTCCCAGATTGGCAACAGCAATATGTGGGAATAAAGCAATACACAATGACTTGTATGTGATATTCATTTCTGGTGTACTGACTACATATACAGGAACAGGTTTGCACACAGTCAAGAGCCCTTTAAAACAAAGGTTTTATCAAATGTTTTCTAATTATTTTATTTTATTGAAACTTTAATACTACTTTGTTGTTAGATAGGTTTATACAATCAAAATGTTTTTTAAAAAAATGTAAAGCACTATGAAACATTAAAAAACCTATAAATCTGAAAAGATAAGCACTACGTTGGCCAAACTTTCAATGGCAGTGTTATGTTTCTGGAGGTTTTTGTATGGTTTGGTGGCAAGAAGCCATAATCTGGCATTTTGGAGGGTTTTATTTTTATAAATGTACTCATGTAGAAGCTGAATATTATGTAATACATCTGTGTTTTTCATTGAAGTTGTATTATTAAATGTATGAACTAAAAAGTAATCTTTTCAACTATCAGTATGAGATTTACAAAACAATTTGGCGGGTTTGAAAAAAAAAACCCTGAAAATTGTGCTGCAACAGTACTGACAATGTAGCCAACTGAACTTGTGATTTGTGGTGGAGAAGTTCTCCCACTCTGCGACTGCCACGGTGGTCAGATGTTCCATTAGATGGATAGTACCAACCCGAGGTACTGGGTATTTTTTTCTTCGACCTCCCAGTGTAAGGGATACAAGACTGGTGAGTTTTCTGTATTCACTATTTCAGCTTTAAATGTGGCTAAATGTGGCCTATGTTTAAAATAATGTTATTCTTTAAATTTTGTTTTGTTAATGATTGTTTATTTTAGCTGAAAATACAATAAACATGAATGGTTTTGTTATTTGATTCTTTTGTTTTAAGTTTAATACGATTAAAGATTTCTGTCTTTCCGAAATTTTGTTTTTAACTCAATAAAATCAAATGTTTACTTAAAGTTTGACCATCTTAAGTAATAATTTCTAAATAATTAAAGAAAAACAGTTATTAAATGTTTAACAAACACTCGCCAAAGCTTCATTGTTTTTTTAATTTACACTTTTTTTTTTCAAAGACAAAAAAGATACACATCCTGTGTATGTAAAAGAAAAATGATTATCAATATAAATTATGCACATTTTGACAACCAAAAAATGTTTTCTACCAGTTTTACTTTTTCCCATGCTTTATAAATTAAATAGAATTCTTTAAAAATGTAATTGATCCTCAAATCTCATAATAAAATCACAGGCCAAGTATTTTATTTTTTGGGTACATAGCTGTGTATTTTACTCTGAAATTAATTAATGATAAACAAACTTCAAACTAAAAAAATTAGCAAATGTTATTCATACATTTTAATGGAATAATATTTTTTACTCATTTTGAATTTGTATAACTGATCCTTTAAAGTTTAAAATCAAAATTATTGTCTTAATTCAGTGGCTTTAAGTGATAGGAAATCATTTAGATTGGGGCAATATACAGTATGGACGGCTGAGAGATATATCACATTTAATCCTGTCACACGCTCATTCTTTAAGGTTATAGTTGGGTGTTGAATGCAAGCTTTTATGTAACTTGCTTCCTCTGTCTGTCATGATTTTGTCTTCATGGATTAAAATTGGCTAGCAAAATTTCAACCACTTCTAACCAACAATTTCTCTGAAACTTGGCACCTGATGACCATACTACATGACGTCAGTATGAATCAATTGAATGCTTAATTAATTTTAAAAAAACTAGTCAAAATTTCCTCTTTATAAAGTACTATTTACTGCACAATTCTACGCACATTTTTTGTGTTCATGTAGTGTGCAATTGTTTTTTGTCATACAACTATTGTATTAAAATTTTTAAAGTACTGAAGAAAAATGCATAAAAAACGTTTTTATAACAGGCTTTTATCTAATAATGCACTAAAAAGGAGAAAATAATAGCATAGAAGATCTAATTTTTTGTTATTGTTGTTGACTGGATCTAATACTTAACACTATTTCTGATTTCTTAAAAAAATGCATATGAATTTTGAAGTACTAATATTCCGCACTATTACACACAGTTTGCTGTTCACTTGGTGCATTCACGAGTTGCATTCCCTGTAGTGTTATATTAGAATATTTGAGAAAGTTTAGGGGAGATCACTCCTGCTTTATTTCATTACTTATCCTCTTCTGAAATTATCACTTTAAAATAGTAGCTTTAACTGGAGTATCTGTGACACTTACACTACATCTTAGTGATATCAAAACATGACTAGGCAAACTGTCAATAGAGATTGACAAGTTTAACAAACATTCCCTTGTTGTCTAGCACATCACTTCATTGAGTTACAAAATATTTTATTTCAGCAATCAAGTATTCACACTATATAAACAGTCAGTTTTTATAATATCTTTTGCATCAAAAAAATTTCATGATGTAAATGTTCCGACAGATCAGACATGCTGTACCATATAAACACAACATAGAAGATACACATCTATACTTGCCAAACCTACTAAGTCACTTTGATTCTGCAGTTTTTTTGTTGTTGTAATCATTATTGTTTTTTATTCTAGGATTTTGTTTTCTGTTAAAAGATAGCCTTCAGAACAAAAATAGGTAAAAATTTAAGATTCAGACTATAAATAATTATTAGAATAGACTAGGGCAGGGGTCGGCAACCTGCGGCTCGCGAGCCGCATGCGGCTCTTTTGATATCAAGATGCGGCTCTCCAGCTCCTTGCACAAACACTAATAATCTTAATAAAAAAATAAAATATTTGAAATAAAAAAATGTTAGTGGCTCTTTAAAACCAGGGAAATTTTGAAAATTGTAACTTTTGGCTTTTCCGCTTCAAAAGGTTGCCGACCCCTGGACTAGGGGATGATATGTTCTTATTCTATATGTCCATTTCAAAATAGATTTAGCCAGTGGACCCATGATAAATATACTTAATTATCCAATTGGAAATTTTCTAACTAACCATTCTGGCTTTAAATTTAAACCATAAACTGGGTTTATCTCACAAATTAGAATTTAAAAAAAAAACGTTTTTCCTGACTTCAGAATTGTAAACTAGTTCATTTTATAAAGTTTGATCAAGAAAAAACATCTACCGTTTCATGAAAATGAAAATAAAAATGATCAAGGTGCAAAATCTATTACTAATTATGGAGTGCATCAAATCATCCCTGAGGAAGGTTTTCATGACTGAGTAATTCAAAATTAAATAATGAGTTATTGCTCTTAGATAATGAGCAGTTGTCTAGTTTTTTTTTCACAAGTATCAGATTTTGTTTTAACACTCTTACTAATCATACAGCCACATAACAATAAATATTACAAAATGTACAGATTTGCTAACGTTTTGCTGTATGTAATGAGTTTTTTAAAATAATTCCAATAAAAAAATTTATAATCAATATAGAAATGTAAAAACAGGCTTTAAATTTGCCAACCTAAACATTTTTGTTATTCTTCACTGAAATAGTCTGCACAGTCAGCTATTTTAACATCTATATAATTATTCCCTTGTGATTAGTGCCTTAATTAAATTTAAAATAGGATTGAGTTGACACAGTTCTTTAATTCTTACATGTGGGTAACCATAAAGATGCTATTTCTAGAATGAAAAAAGGGAGAGGTTAAAAAAACTGTGACACCACACTTTAGAAAATGTTATTATTCTTTTTCAAATTGAATGTTTGCAGCTTTTTTTATTTTTTTAAAATTTTTTTAAACACTAATTTGAAAATTGTTGTCAAAGTAGGTGAACACGCATTCTGTGACAAGGGATGGGGGGGAGGAAATAGTTAACTGAAAACCATCAAAATAAATGTGTGAGAAAAGAGGGACCCAACAGAAAAAATCCAGGAGAACAGATTGAGAACCACTGATAAGACTTAAAAAAACTGATTATACTTTAGTTATAGTTAATATATTGTTAGAGCTCAGGAAAAAAATAAAAAAAGTTAGTAGTAATTATTAATAGTAGGTTTAATTTTTGGTGTTAAAGAGTTAAGTTTATTTAAAGAAAGTTCTTGAGAGTTTCTTTACCTATAAATAGAAAAATCATGAGTATAAAAATTAAAAGAAAAAATGTACTAAAGAGAAAGAAAATGAAATTGAAGATTTGTACACACAGATAATATCATGAATGGAATGGGAATGAGTAACATGCTATGGTGTGAGCCATGGTTTCTCTGCAGTGGTTGGATCACAGGACATTTTCTTGCTCAGCTGCTGTCAAGCAGACAACCTAAGCGGGCGGTAGGTTGGTGGGCGGACTTGTTGTTCAGGTCGGTGTGGATTTCTGCAAGAGGGAGAAGGACGGTGATTGAGACATCAGCCACATTCATTTTTTAAAAAATGGTGTTCTATCCTGGCCTCGCATTGCTTTTGCTTCGCTGGCTTGCCTCGCACGATTGTACGGCTGTTGCTGCGCTTTAGTGGGCCAGGCTTAAAGCTTTCTTCGCCTGAAAGTTAAATCACAATTTTTTAAAATAAAATTGACTTTTAAGCTGGAAAACGAAGCATTACTATAATTATAACTACAACAAATAAAAAAGCTGCTAGCTTTTTAAAATCAATTTCACTTGTACTTGTTAGTGCGATTATATATTCTTTTATGTTTTGTTTTCAGACATCAATAACTTATGGCTGTCTATGAGAAAATGGACCTAGTATGTGGTCATTAAAAGAAAATATATTTAATTATAGATAATTCAGTAAGTAAAAATAAAAAAAGTGAAGTAGAGTTCACCTGTTTTTATGACCTTGGCATATAAAGGGATAGTGTGCCATACCACCTTTACTTTCCCTAGCATAAGTTACATATCACTTATCAGAGCTGGGTGAACTCAGGGATGTTCTACTGACTTGAACCCGAATTCAAACTCAAGACTTTTGGGTTAACAGTCAAGCGCACTGCCGCTAGACCACACCGTTCCCATAATACAGTCAGTATAGTGTAGTTAAAGAGGTATAAACTAAATTTCCAGTGCTAAAATAATGTAAGTATGCTATACCTCCTTTAACACAGTCAATAAAGTGTAGTTAAAGCAGTATAAAACAAATTTCTAATGCTAAAAATAATGTAAGTATGCTATACCTCCTTCTGGGCCTCTTCAATAGACTTCATCTCTTCGTATCTGTCTTTTGCATTTTTTAAGGGCTGCACCATCACTTCATCAATCTGTGTAAACACCTACAAAATAAAACACAGGGTGGTAAGATCAGATTTTAATATGTAGGCGTATGCAGACTCTAGACCAGGGGTCGGCAACCTTTTGAAGCGGAAGAGCCAAAAGTTACAATTTTCAAGATTTCCCTGGTTTTAAAGAGCCACTAACATTTTTTTAATTTCAAATATTTAATATTTTTATTAAGATTATTAGTATTTGTTCAAGGAGCTGGAGAGCCGCATCTTGATATCAAAAGAGCCGCATGCGGCTCGCGAGCCGCAGGTTGCCGACCCCTGCTCTAGACGTTTGAATTTTTTTCTCTTGGAATATGCAAATTTCTATTTATTTATTTAAAAAGCGCTTGAAGTACATGTATCAATTCTGCAATAGTGTTGTGTTTTAATGACAATTATTTTTTAAAAAGTGTTCATATATTTTAACACCATTTATCTTCTTTATCATCTTTTTCAACTTCCTATTGGAGCATATGCCATTCACAACACCTTTCCATGCTTCTCTGCCCATTGCTATTTTTTCCGTTTCTTTTATCTTTTTCAATTTCTCTAAGCCGTGTTTTTGGGTCTCCTTTTTTTCCCTTTGATCCTTGTGTCTTCCATTATGTGCCTAGTCTGGTACCTGTTGTTGCCAGTTTTCTCAAGGCTCAGCCATGTTCACCTTCTTATCCAGATTTCTCGCTCTACTGGGATTTTTCCTGCACTTTCCCATACTGCCGTGTTAGGTAACCTACTTTATCAATCATTCTAATGTTTGTAAACAATGGTGATCTCCCTTTAATAAGACTTAAAACCCAATGTAGCTCTGATTTGATATGTAATAGGTTGCCATACAATCATTTTTGGCTTAACATAGGATCAAAACAGAAGTCAATCTATCTTTCATTTTTAATTTCCTGGTACATTTTTAAAGAGTTAATATTAAATTATGATTTTATTATTAATTTTGGAATAGCTTTATTATAAAAAATAGACTTACTTTTGCAACAGTTTCAAACATTGGAATTAAAACAAATTTAATGAAGCCAATCTGGGCTGTTGGTTTGGTCACTTTGTCTCTGTCCATGAACGGTGCCACAGGCAGGCCCTCAATCTTTTCTCTGTCACTCTAAGAACACATGTGTCAAAAATGTAAATTTACCTTAATCAAATTAATTATGTAAATTAATCTAAACAAAGCATTTAAAAAATGTAGGCCTATATAAAGTTAAATAAATTTTATTAAATAGTCTCATTTATAATTCTCTGAAATTTAAATCAGATTAGAAATTAATTATGTAGAGATTTGTAGGAAAATTCTGTTGCTTTATTAACAGAGTTTCTTCCAGGCATCTCTTCGGGGGGGGGGGGGGGGGGGGGGGGGGGGGGATGAGATGATATTATAGATAAATGAATTATAAACCTACATCAATAGCTAAATATATCAATTTAAGCCAGAAATTAACTTTAATTTCAAATTTACAAAGCAGCGAAAGTAGTATTCTTAAAGGAATGGATTTTTATTTATAGATAATCTGTTTGTGTGCTCATTCTCCTGTTTAGAAATAATTAATTTTCCCTACTAGATATAAATTTTAGCCTAATTGTATCTGACTATCAGTGTACAACTTTTACAAATAATTATTTTAAATTTTAATTGACATTTCAACAGCATAAATTTATTCTAGAAAAATAAATTTTACGTGTAAAGTTTTAATAGGAAAACCTACAAGATGAGTTATCTATATTTTGGCAATCGGCAGTGCTCGCCCTTTGATTTAAAGAAAAGGAACATTTCCTTGTTTTATATAATAAACATAATACACTTTCACTTGTGTCTGCCTCCCCGAAAAATGTTGACCCCCCCCCCCCCCAGGAGAAAAAAGTCTGGAAGAAACACTGTTTATGAATGATGTTAATCAGCCACGTTTATATTTATTACAGAGTGCACTAGTTATCTAAAATCAATTATTAGTTTCCTTTAGATTTGTCAAAAAGTTAACTACACATGTAAAGGACCTAGATTTAATAAGTAATGAAACAATTTTGTATTATTTTCCTCGCAACCAACACTATCAAATAAAAATTAATATCCGGCGTGTTTTGTTATAAGTTTTATAATTCATTAAGAGTCAACAAGACAGCTGACAATATCACATGACCAGCACAAGTGCCCCTTACAGTCAACCAGTAAAATACCATGAAAAAACGCACAAAAAACACAAGCTAACCACACAACCCAACAAAACAAATCATTTAAAAAAAGCAAAAAAACCACAAGAAAACTACAAAAAAAAAACAACAACACCACAAACCCACCTGATTAAAGTACTCCTCCAACAAGCAATCAACCCAAGGTTCTGAGACTTCCATAGGGCGAACTTCATTTGAAATATCACAGCACTTAATTAGGACCATTTTCAACTGGAAATAAAAACATCTTTGATTTAAGATTATTATTTTTTAATAACATTATCCTTAGAAATATCACAGCACTTAATTAGGACCATTTTCAACTGGAAATAAAAACATCTTTGATTTAAGATTATTATTTTTTAATAACATTATCATTAGAAATATCACAGCACTTAATTAAGACCATTTTCAACTGGAAATAAAAACATCTTTGGTTATAATTTGTTAAATAATATTATTCTTTAAAATATTCTTTGAAATACCAAATAGGTAAAAATTCCAAAACATGAAAATTGAAAAAAGTGTTGATACTATTTTTAACATAAAAATAAAATAATTACATATGTAGGACCCATACTATTTTAAACAAAAATATTCGAAGTTTTAGACTACATAATTAATAATCATTACTGTAGGCCTACATTACAGTACAAATAATAATTGAAAGAAACTAAGAAACCACACACAAAAAAAATAATATAACTTGTGTATACAAAACCATTAGTGGAGTACATTGAACTAGAATAGATTACCGATAATAAAATTAAAAATTTTAAAAGAATATTTTTTATTTTATTAACTAATTTTTAACCAAACTTAATTTACTTTCTGATGTTTTTCCTCCCTCTATCATATAGCTATTAATAAAATACTTAAAAAAACTTTTTAAAAAACCACGTTTTTTATGTGTAGCAACGGACTAAAAAGGAGAATTGATGACAAAAAACGTGGGTACGTTCACCATCAAATTTCCCGACCCATCTGCCCGACCCACGTTTTTTGTCATCAATTCTCCTTTTTAGTCCGTTGCTACACATAAAAAACGTGGTTTTTTAAAAAGTTTTTTTAAGTATTTTATTTTCTCCTTTTTAGTCCGTTGCTACACATGAAAAACGTGGTTTTTAAAAAGTTTTTTATATAGTTTATTTTCTACTTTATCTAATCACTTGATTAAGTATGACTTGACTAAGTGTTTTTAAATACACGGACTAAAAAAATCTTGAGCGACCGATACGCTTTAAACAGAGAAAGGGTGTAATTTACGTTGCTGGCGTGGAGATCTACTCACGAATCACGTGATCAAATCTCCCATAAACAAACAAATAAACGCGAAGCTGAGTTAAGGAAAAACGTGTTTATGTGTATTTTAGCATGCCCAGCGTACCAACCGTGTCACCGTTAACAATGTGTTACCGTGTCCGTTCTCCTTTTTAGTCCGTTGCTACACATAAAAAACGTGGTTTTTTAAAAAGTTTTTTTTAAGTATTTTATTTTCTCCTTTTTAGTCCGTTGCTACACATGAAAAACGTGGTTTTTAAAAAAGTGTTTATAAATACACGGACTAAAAATCTTGAGCGACCAGGATTCGAACCTGGGTTGTCGCGGCCACAACGCGAAGTACTAACCACTATACGATCACGGCCAGCGCGCTCACATCGATTGGGGCCGAAGTAACTGTGTCAATAGGCCTCAAGTCTTGTCGGTATCTTTAGAAATCATGTCCTCAATTTTATGGTCCTTGGGGCGTAATTAAATTAAGCTAATTACGGTCACTAATTGCTAGTTTTTATGATTGCATCTGAAATTGTTAGGCGAAAGTAGCATGCATGCCAAATTTCAGGTCTCTAGAGCAATCAGAAGTGGGCTAATTTTCGATGTCAATTTTAACAACAAACATCCAAACAACCAAACAAACAAACGCGAAGCTGAGTTAAGAAAAACGTGTTAAAAATTTGATATACATAGATCTATATATTAATATAAGTTTCACGAAACATAACTCTGAAGAAAAGTGGTTGTAACTTAAAGGGCAGTTAAACAGACACTAAAAGGGAAACAACCCTCACCGTATCTAGGTGGTCCTTGTTCTTGTTATCAAAACCAGCTGCCAGTTTGTCTTTAAAACTTTCCATTATTTCTGCGTGCCTGGCCATGTCTGTGGCCAGTATCAGCATGGTTATGCCCTGAAGAAAATTTCAAACGTTCACTTTAAAAAAATACAGGCTGAAGTGTAAAACAGTTAGAAATCTATAACATGAGGGAAAGTTTGAATAATGCAAATAACGTTACAGGAATCAGAAAAAAACAATGGTTTGTAATCATTTTAGCTAGGCAGGCACTAAAATAAAACAAAACAAAAAAACGAAGTAGAAAAGGGTTATCCAAAAACACCTGGCAATGCAAGTTTGCAGCAGTCATTACTAAGATAAGTCAAGCAGGAACTAAGAATAGATAAAGGCCAAGGACAGATAAATCTCCACAGCTGTGTGTGGTAGCCCTTGCCTCAGTAGGAGTGAGGGGAGACTATTCATCCAAGTTCAAATTACTTCCCATTTTAATTTTTCAATTGGTTCTTATAATAATGTAATATCTAAATATTGCATATTTAATAGGACCAATTATTCTAAATTTACTTGAGTTTTTGTCAATTTAAATAAAAAAATAAATAATTAAAATCTATTTTTAACAGACATACTTGTGTTGATTTAATTTAAAATAAAATAATAAAGGTCAAGGCCACTCACTGCTCTGACCCTTTTGAACGTGTCCTTGTCGACGTTGGCGAAGATGTTGGTGTCAGGGTTGGAGAGGATCTGGAAGGCCACGGCACAGTGATGGTTCTCTAGTGGGGAGATGTCATTGTAGCGGATAGCTAGCTCTGTCCGGGCGTTGATCTGGTACCTGGGGGGGGGGGGGGGATACAGGTGAGTCAGGGGATATCACAGGTGAGTTCATGTGTGAGGTAAAATACAGGTGAGTTCGTGTGTCAGGTAAAATACAGGTGAGTTCATGTGTCAGGTAAAATACAGGTGAGTTCATGTGTGAGGTAAAATACAGGTGACTTCATGTGTCAGGTAAAATACAGGTGAGTTCATGTGTCAGGTAAAATACAGGTGAGTTCGTGTGTGAGGTAAAATACAGGTGAGTTCATGTGTGAGATAAAATACAGGTGACTTCATGTGTCAGGTAAAATACAGGTGAGTTCATGTGTCAGGTAAAATACAGGTGAGTTCATGTGTGAGGTAAAATACAGGTGAGTTCATGTGTGAGGTAAAATACAGGTGAGTTTATGTGTGAGGTAAAATACAGGTGAGTTTATGTGTGAGGTAAAATACAGGTGAGTTCATGTGTCAGGTAAAATACAGGTGAGTTCATGTGTGAGATAAAATACAGGTGAGTTCATGTGTCAGGTAAAATACAGGTGAGTTCATGTGTGAGGTAAAATACAGGTGAGTTTATGTGTGAGGTAAAATACAGGTGAGTTTATGTGTGAGGTAAAATACAGGTGAGTTCATGTGTCAGGTAAAATACAGGTGAGTTCATGTGTGAGATAAAATACAGGTGAGTTCATGTGTGAGGTAAAATACAGGTGAGTTCATGTGTGAGGTAAAATACAGGTGAGTTTATGTGTGAGGTAAAATACAGGTGAGTTCATGTGTGAGGTAAAATACAGGTGAGTTCATGTGTGAGGTAAAATACAGGTGAGTTCATGTGTCAGGTAAAATACAGGTGAGTTCATGTGTGAGATAAAATACAGGTGAGTTCATGTGTCAGGTAAAATACAGGTGAGTTCATGTGTGAGGTAAAATACAGGTGAGTTTATGTGTGAGGTAAAATACAGGTGAGTTTATGTGTGAGGTAAAATACAGGTGAGTTCATGTGTCAGGTAAAATACAGGTGAGTTCATGTGTCAGGTAAAATACAGGTGAGTTCATGTGTCAGGTAAAATACGGGTGAGTTTATGTGTCAGGTAAAATACAGGTGAGTTCATGTGTCAGGTAAAATAACAGGTGAGTTTATGTGTGAAGTAATATTACAGGTGAGTTCATGTGTGAGGTGAAATACAGGTGAGTTTATGTGTCAGGTAAAATACAGGTGAGTTCATGTGTCAGGTAAAATACAGGTGAGTTCATGTGTCAGGTAAAATACGGGTGAGTTTATGTGTCAGGTAAAATACAGGTGAGTTCATGTGTCAGGTAAAATAACAGGTGAGTTTATGTGTGAAGTAATATTACAGGTGAGTTCATGTGTGAGGTGAAATACAGGTGAGTTTATGTGTCAGGTAAAATACAGGTGAGTTCATGTGTCAGGTAAAATACAGGTGAGTTCATGTGTCAGGTAAAATACAGGTGAGTTCATGTGTCAGGTAAAATACAGGTGAGTTCATGTGTGAGGTAAATACAGGTGAGTTCATGTGTCAGGTAAAATACAGGTGAGTTTTTGTGTAAGGTAAAATACAGGTGAGTTATACCTAACTTACATATTTGTCATACCTGACTTAAACACATTGTTATACCTAACTTATATAAATTGTAACAACTGATTTAATACGTATTGTTATATCTAACTTACATATTTGTCATAAATGACTTACGTATTTTTATAACTGGCTTACATATTGTCATAATTGCTTTACGTATTGTTATATCTGACTTACGTATAGTTACAACTGGCTTACATATTGTTATAAGTGACTTATATATTGTTATATATGACTTACATATTGTTAAAATTGACCTACATATTTTTATAACTTACGTATTGTTATACCTGAGTTACATATTTGTCATAAATGACCAACATATTGTTATAACTGACTTACGTATTGTTATAAATGACTTACATATTGTTATAACTGACTTACGTATTGTTATACCCAGGATGGTCTAGATCATGACAGACGGCAGCAGTGAGCAGAATCCCCAGGTCTTCAGTGCTCATCTGCTCCCACAGCTTACAGAGGTGTATCATCCCGTACATCATTTGGGAGACACAGAAACAGTGGCGGAAGTTGTGGAAGGGGTTGTTGCGGTAGTTCTCCTGGACACACAGCTGGGGGGGGGGGAGGGGGTGAAGTTTTTTCATTGTTAGATAAGACGATACACGATGGTCACATGTCTTAAAGATGTCTGGCACAATGTGATTATTTCATACAAAAAAACAAAGGCACACAATTCATGACCACATCTGACTTCAAATATGTATTCAACACCTCCAATTGAAAACAAAATGCTAAATAAAAAGTAACAATTTAAAAAAAATATGAATCATTAAATATAATATTTCTTAACTACCCCTAATTAGCATATCAACTCACGTGTCTACCCCCACCCCTTGCTCCTAGGTGACGTCAGTTATGGATGACCCCCCCCCCCCCCCCTCCCAAAAAATCGTAACAACTAGCGAATAGATATTTTTCCAAACGGTACTTTTTTTATAAGATTGTAAGCAGCAACGATAAGCTTACTTTGGGTATCTCTTGGGGGGGGGGGGGGGGGGGGCGCACTGAAGCACGTCTACCCCCCCCCCCCCCCACCTAACGAAATAGAAATTTAAATGTATACTTTAACTAGTCCGCCACCTCGAAATTTATGTTCGACCTTCCCCCCCCCCCCTCCAACGAAAGTTTCAAGTGACCCCCCCCCCCCCCCCCCCCCCCCCCGTGGAGAAAAAAATGTCTAAAAGAAACATAGGCAAGCGTGCGGCGTCAATTCGGCCAATGACGAAACGGCCCCGTCAAAACGACCCCGACAAAACGACCCCGTCAAATCGGCCCCGTCAAAAGGGCCAGCGACATATGGACCCCGTCATATAGGCTCCCGACAAATAGGCTCCCGTCATTTAGGCTACCGACAAATAGGCTCCCGTTATATAGGCTCCCGACAAAAGGGCTCCTGTCAATAAGGCTCCTGACAAATAGGCTCCCGTCATTTTGGCTCCCGACATATAGTCTCCCGTCATTTAGTTTTTTCCACAAAACGGCCCCCGTCATTACGACTACCGACAAATAGGCTCCCGCCATTTAGTTTCTCCACAAAACGGCCCCCGTCATTACGACTCCCGACAAATAGGCTAGCGTCATTTTGGCTCCCGACAAAAAGGCTCCTGTCAATTTGGCTCCAGACAAAAGGACCACTGACACAGTGGCGTAGCTACCGTAAAGCTAGCGTAAGCAAGGCATGGGGGCCCAAGGCACATAGGGGCCCTTTTCCCTCATAAAAAATTAAAACTTTTACAATGGAATTTTAATATTTGTTACATATAAATAATTTTAAAAAAGAAAAAGGTTAAAAGGGGGGGGGGGGGGGGGTGTTTCGGCAGTGGGATTCAGTGTTTGTGGGTCAAACAGAGCCCAATCGTTATCATAACACTACAGGCTATATCACTTTGTCGTGCAAGACATTGAGAGAATCAGCCTATAAATAAACTTTTTAGCAGTAGTAGGCAAGCATAATAATATAGTATAAATACAAAATCAGGACATATAAAATATAAAATGTTGCCTTCAGAATATTTATATATTAAAAAATATCCATCGTAAGTAGAAGTTGATCTCTTCGTTTAACTCCTCTGTAGCCTAACGCAGAGGCGTAGCGAAGGCGAGGCGGGGGGTGCGGACCGCAACGGGTGACACCATTTAGGGGGGGGGGGTGACACCAAAGGCAAAAAATTGTAAAATTTATAGAATGAAATGCCATTTTCCAGATCCATTAGTTAAAGTTAAATAGTCTTCTAAGTACAAATCGAAAATTATATCAAGAGGGGGGGGGGGGATGTGACACCACGACGTAAACGTAAACTATAAAGAAAACAATGCTACATCCAACTGTATTATAAACAGACTGTAGATAAACATCGTTACTATTAAGTCAGCAGTGATTAAAGCTTAAACACGTACGTGTACCAGTATGTGGCATATATATAAATTTTAGGCCTATGTAGGCCGACACACACGCACATATATATATATATATATATATATATATATATATATATATATATATATATATATATATATATATATATATATGTGCATTGTTTCCTGGGAGGGGGTGACAATACGAAGTGCCGCACCGGGTGAGACCATATAGGGGGGTGACACAAAGGCAAAAAATAGCAAAATATATAGAGAAAAAGTTGAGGGGGTGGGGGTGCAAATCGAAAGTTTGGGGGGGGGGGGGGTGCAAATCGAAAACTTGAAAGTTTGTCCCCGGGAAGGGTCGCAACGCCTCTGGGGGAGGGGGGTGACACCATTAAGTGCCGCACCGGGTGACACCCGACCTCGCTACGCCACTGTGCTTGTAGGTTATCAAAACAAAATGCTCTTATCATGTTAACATCATGTATATCATACATTTACACTTCTGTGCTCGCTTTTAAGCAACAGATCTTTTCTGTTGTAAATTAAACATTATCAAAACTTTAGAATTGGTAGAATTTAGCTGTTAAGGGCTCGATTTGTTTGTGAATTAATGTTGGTTCATGAAAAAATAATTTCATTCGGGCATTAAAAAGAGGTTATGGTGGTATTGGAGGTAGGACACAATGGTTACTTTTATGCCAATAGTGGTCATATCATTCATTTTTCTGGAGCCAATATGTCGAGAGTCATTTTGTCAAAAGCCTATATGTCGGGAGCCCAATTGCCGGGAGCCAAAATGTCGTGAGCCCATTTGCCGGGAGCCCATTTGTCTTTAGCCCTTATGTCGGGAGCCAATATGTCGGGAGCCGCTTTGTCGGGAGCCAATATGTCCTGAGCCTATTTGTCAGGGGTTAATATGTCGGGAGTCCATTTGTCGGGAGCCTAAATATCGGGAGCCCATTTGTCGGGAGCCTATATGTCGCAAGTCAATATGACGGGAGCCCATTTGACGGGAGCCAATAAGTCGGGGCCCTTTTGACGGGGCTATTTTGACGGGGTCGGTTTGTCGGGAGTCGATTTTACGGGGTCGTATTAACGGGGCCGTTTTGACGGGGCCGTTTTGTCCCGGGCCGTTTTGACAGGGCACCTAGGCAAGATATGTAGACTATCTCAAGGCTAACAAAAATAAACACGCACGGAGTTTTCTGAAGTACCCTCGTCAGCTGACTGCTCAGACTGTCAAACTGTTTTTTCCCCACCAGAGCCCCATCGATAACTTCAAGTGGCCTGTCAGCATTTTCCCCCGGCTTCCAGACTTAATATATTTTAACGGGGGAAAAAATCGCTTTAAGAATGTAATTAAGGAACTATTAATTGCCAATTATCCCTCTAATAGCAAATCTTATTGTGTTAATTAAATATCCAGGATGAAAGGATAAGCTAAAGGCCAAAGGCAACAATTTGTTAATTGACGCTAGAAAAGGTGGCCAGGTTTATCCGGCAAGACAAGCCAAAAGAGGCAGGTGTTTGTTTTCAAACTAAGATTTCCATCGCAGAAGAACTTAGGATTTAAAAGTGCAACCGGTAAACAAACGAAAGAGAGAAATTGCCTTTCAAACAAAGACGCACTTAGATACATTTCCATCCTCTTTATTCTATAGATATTTCATGACAGTTTGTGAAAGATAAACTTCAGAAGACGAAATAAAAACACACGAAATGGCTAGAAACGAAACAACACTAGGGGGCGTCTAGTAAAAACGTAATGATGTTTAAGCCAAGTTATACCCCCCCCCACCCACTTATAACCAAAACTTCGTCACACAAAAAACGGATGCCCAGCTTGCCCTAATTGGAAATCACAAAATTCCGTTCGCCACGCTAAAATAAACGTAATCCTTACTGGTTTTTACTTCCATATTTTTCTTCTTTAAAAAATGCTGCACCCTCGTCACACATAGTCACACCCTCGTCACAAATAGTCACACTCTCGTCACAAATAGTCACACTCTCGTCACAAATAGCCACACCTCGTCACAAATAGCCACACCCTGGTAACAAATAGTCACACTCTCGTCACAAATAGTCACACTCTCGTCACAAATAGTCAAACCCTCGTCACAAATAGTCACACTCTCGTCACAAATAGCCACACCCTCGTCACAAATAGTCACACTCTCGTCACAAATAGCCACACCCTCGTCACAAATAGTCACACTCTCGTCACAAATAGTCACACTCTCGTCACAAATAGCCACACCCTCGTCACAAATAGCCACACCCTGGTCACAAATAGTCACACTCTCGTCACAAATAGTCACACTCTCGTCAGAAATAGTCACACCCTCGTCACAAATAGTCACACTCTCGTCACAAATAGTCACACCCTGGTCACAAATAGTCACACCCTCGTCACAAATAGTCACACTCTCGTCACAAATAGTCACACCCTCGTCACAAATAGTCACACTCTCGTCACAAATAGTCACACCTCGTCACAAATAGTCAAACCCTCGACACACCCACGTCACATATAGTCGATCCTTGTCACACTGTCACCCCCTCGTCACACATAGTCACTGATGTATGTATCTATTTCTTCTTTTCATATAGCCTACTAAAACAGATTTTTAAAAAAAGCAGACTGCATTTCGCCATATTTTTCAACATAACACGTTTTAGCACTATGCATTCATAATTATATCCATGTAGATGTTATTTTATTTTTGGCCAGAAAAGAAAAAAAAAATTGCCATCGACCTTGATCCTAATCCAGGACAGGGAAATAAAGGGAGATAAAATGACACAACGAATTAATGCCGCCATAGCTGTCTTACACTCAGGGGGAAAAAATCGATCTGAAATATACACTTTTGTGACATCAACATTTTACATCGCAGCAATAAAATATTCCCACAAAGTGTTTGTAGATATCGAAAGGATAACTTATTTCAAGGTTATGCTAGTATCGATTACTAAAGTGAGTATAAAAGTAACTTTAAAAAAAACACAACAGAAATCGTGAAAATAGTGCCAGATGAGACTGGTTAACGAGAACGAGGCTGCTGTGAAGCAGGTTGAGGGTAGGGGAGGGCAAGGCTGGGTAAAACGATACCTAGGGTATGAAAACAAATTGAAAGAGGTCACAAGAAATCGAGACTAGAGATCGAGAATTAAATTGAAAAACTAGGCTAACAAGGAAAAGATGGTGAGGAGGGTGACGGGGTTAGACAAGTAATAAAAAAACAACAACAAGAAATCAAAAAGATAGAGGCGGTGAAAAATAGGCTGCGTACAACAAAAACGAGGCTATGGTAATTCAGAACGAGGCCAAACCAAAATGAGATTTTTTTTCCCATGTAAAATGATAACGAGGCTTTGTAAAACGAGAAGGAGGCTACACAAGAACTAGGGGATCTTACACCAATAATGATATTTTCTTTGGGGTCTAGCCAGTAGTGTCAAAACGAAAGTAGATATACATGAATATTTAGTAGTGTCTGTACTGTTGAATTTTTTTGTGTGTTTAAAAAAATCAGAACATAACCCAACCCTCCTCTACTCAAGAAGAATTTAGAACGGACAAACTAAAATTTCAGCAAATTTCAGTACTTCCGTTTCACCACTATGGACGGCTAATCTCGATCTGTTTAATGAGACATTATCTCAGTGTGGTCCTTGTCTTAGACCTCACTACATACAGTTATCTTCATAGGATCGAAACCACCAACTTACACACATGTGTAACAGGAACGCTCAGCAGTGATACTGGGGGGGGGGGGGGTAAGAAAACAGCAACTAAGATATTAATATGAACCCTAACTAGTGTCTACATTCATACCATCACCAACCCAACAAGGTCTAGTACAAATAAAATAGTTGTTACCCTCTTATGTGTAAAAAAAAAAAAAAAAAAACACAACAAAACAAAAAATCAACAACAACAAAACCTCAGTGTCCAGAACTCAAAACACGCGGTCGAATCCACTTCCTCAACTTTCGAAAACTACCTTGACATCCGAACATAACCACTCTGACAACACAACTACCTCGAAATCCGAACATAACTACATGAACAACAGCACTACCTCGACATCCGAACATAACCACTCTGACAACACAACTACCTCGAAATCCGAACATAACTACATGAACAACAGCACTACCTCGACATCCGAACATAACCACTCTGACAACACAACTACCTCGAAATCCGAACATAACTACATGAACAACAGCACTACCTCGACATCCGAACATAACCACTCTGACAACACCACTACCTCGAAAACGAACATAACAACATAACTACAACACTACCTCGACATTCGAACATAACCACCCTGACAACACTACTACCTCGAAATCCGAACATAACAACATTAACAACAACACTACCTCGACATCCGAACCTAACCACTCAGACCACTAACCCAACCTTCTCCATAATCTAATGACTTAATTTAACGAAATCCTAGACGTCAACCCACGGCTTGCTTGTTGCTGTGTTCGGGTATATTTATAGACCAACCAACTAAAAAGGGGATGGGCAAATAAAGAAATAACAATTCTTAACGATCTAAAAATTTTTTATAAAACTCCAGGAAAATACCTTCCCTCTTTTCACATTCACCACCCCCTCTCTTTCACCCACCCCTCTCTTTCACCCACCCCTCCCCTCCAATTATTAACAACCATCTGTGCTGTACTGTGAGGTAAAGGACATGACCCACAACCTGTTACGACTCTTTAAGAAGGAATCAGAGACTAGCTCAAGGAAGAATTGGCACCAATGGTTGGGTGCGATAGGGTTAAAGTTCAACCAATGGTTGGGTGAGATAGGGTTAATGTTCAACCAATGGTTGGGTGCGATAGGGTCAAAGTTCAAAGTTAACCAATGGTTGGGTGAGATAGGGTTAAAGTTCAACCAATGGTTGGGTGCGATAGGGTTAAAGTTAAACCAATGGTTGGGTGCGATAGAGTCAAAGTTCAACCAATGGTTGGGTGAGATAGGGTTAAAGTTCAACCAATGGTTGGGTGAGATAGGGTTAAAGTTCAACCAATGGTTGGGTGCGATAGGGTTAAAGTTCAACTTCTGATAGTAACCTCGTATTGAGGTTTGGGTACCAAAGGGTTACTTATCAACCAACGTTTGAGCACTATAGGGTTAATGTTGAACTGATTGTAACAAGACAATTCAATGTGGGTACCCAAAGGGTTACTAACCAACCAACGTTTGAGCACTATAGGGTTAATGTTGAACTGATTGTAACAAGACAATTCAATGTGGGTACCCAAAGGGTTACTAACCAACCAACGTTTGAGCACTATAGGGTTAATGTTGAACTGATTGTAACAAGACAATTCAATGTGGGTACCCAAAGGGTTACTAACCAACCAACGTTTGAGTACTAAAGGGTTAATGTTGAACTGATTGTAACAAGACAATTCAATGTGGGTACCAAAGGGTTACTAACCAACCAACGTTTGAGCACTATAGGGTTAATGTTGAACTGTTTGTAACAAGACAATTCAATGTGGGTACCCAAAGGGTTACTAACCAACCAACGTTTGAGTACTAAAGGGTTAATGTTGAACTGATTGTAACAAGACAATTCAATGTGGGTACCCAAAGGGTTACTAAACAATCAACGTTTGAATACTATGGAGTCAATGTTGAACTCCTGATAAAAAATAATTAGGTTTGGGTACCAAAGGGTTACTTGCCAACCAACGTTTGAGTGCTATAGGGTTAATACTGAACTCCTGATGGAAATAGTTTGGTTTGGGTACCAAAGGGTTACTTACCAACCAACGTTTGAGTACTATAGGGTTACTAACCAATCAACGTTTGATAACTATAGAGTTACTAACCAATCAACGTTTGATTACTATAGAGTTACTAACCAATCAACGTTTGATTACTATAGAGTTACTAACCAATCAACGTTTAAATACTATAGAGTTACTAACCAATCAACGTTTAAATACTATAGAGTCAATGTTGAACTCCTGATAAAAATAATTAGGTTTGGGTACCAAAGGGTTACTTACCAACCAACGTTTGAGCACTATAGGGTTAATGTTGAACTCCTCGACTAGCCCCAGTTCGTGGTACATGTGTTCTAGGAGACTCAGCATCTGCTCATAGAGAAACAAAATCTCGCGTCAGTTGGGAGATGTTGTATTGTAGGGTATGTGTTAAATGTGTTGGTGATTTGCGTCTTCAACTAATATTGTGGGGTGAAAGGTGTGGAGTAAAGCTCTGATATCATGTTGTCTGATCTTTAGAGATTTACCATGGTGCCACGCAGAGGCGTAGCGAGGGGGGGGGGGGGCGGGGGGTGCGGAACGCACCGGGTGACACCATTTAGGGGGGTGACACCAAGGCAAAAATAGCAAAGTATATAGAGAAAAACTTGAGGTGGGGGTGCAAATCGAAAGTTTGAGGGGGGGGTGCAAATCGAAAACTTGAGGGGGGGGGGGGGGCTGCAAATCGAAAGTTTGAGGGGGGGGGTGCAAATCGAAAATTAAATTTGAAAGTTTATCCCAGGGAAGGGTCGCTACGCCTCTGGGGGGTGACACCATTAAGTGCCGCACCGGGTGACACCCGACCTCGCTACGTCACTGGTTCTACGACAGTGATCTACTGATGGTCCATAGAAAGTAGAGTCTATATACAGTAGTCTAGATAAAGTAGCCAATATAGTCTATATAATAAAGTAAGCTAGATCAAGTAGCAAATATCGAGTCTATATAGAGTCCATTTAAAGACCTTAAGACGTTCCGAATTCACCAAGATATCAAGATGCCCCAAATCCACCAAGACCTAAAAAACCCTCAGACCAAATTGAACCAAAAGACGCCACTCATCCGGTCACTGAGCCGAATTGTGTACCGTGTTGCTAGTGTGTAACGTGTGTAGCTAGTGTGTAACTACCTACCTCATTAGGCTCCCAATGCCAGATATCAAAGGTCGGCTGTTTAAGATAGTCGACCGTCTCTTGTGATAATGTGTACTAAACACCAACAAAAAAAAAACAAAATCCGTCAATTAAACCAGCTCAAGGGAGATCAACGGCCTAGCAGGTAAAGGGACATCACTTAGTTCGGTTGGGGGATTACTCTTAAGGGTGGGTTGTCTCGAGGTTTTAAGGGGATAGCCTCGCAACCCAAACCTTCAGATAAATGAGTTCGTTCTAGAAAACATCACCCCTGAGGTTGTGGGGACTGAAAATATCAATGGGAGGGCGGGGAGAGGGAGGGGAGAGGGAAAGATTGGGAGACAAAGAGGTATTGAAAGCAGTGTCTCTTCCAGACTTTTCTCTCCGGGGGGGGGGGGGGGGGGGGAGGGGGGCACTTGATATTTTCGGGGGGGGGGGGGGGGGCGGACAACCATTTCCGGGGGGAGGGGCGGACACTGGTAAAAGTATATGTTTTCTATATCAATTCCATTTCGTTCAAGGGGGAGGTAGAAGAGATGCCTGAAAGAAACTCTGATTGAAAGCGAGAGAGAGAGAGAGAGAGAGAGAGAGAGAGAGAGAGAGAGAGAGAGAGAGAGAGAGATAGAGAGAACAAAAAATATAGAAAGTCACCCTCTTTAAGTTTTTTAACTTCATTTTTGAAAAGCCTGGTTGTGAATGGAGCAAGTATGTTCATTTTGAAGTTCGATAGCGTTAATCATTACGATAATTAATTAATATTAACATCAAAAGTTATAGATCTATCTTGTAAGGGACGATACTTAAAATATTAATTTTACTATGAAATAAAAAAAAAATCAAAGTTTATAGAACATGTAACAACACAACAAATTTCATAAATTAGTACATATTGATTAAAGGAGATATAAGGAGTGGATGAGAGAATTAATTTACATGGGCTATATACAGTTACATGTAACATCAAATTTGATATAAGATTCTACAACCATTCAAGCTGATCAAATGATTGAATGGATGAACTATATGTGAAATCGATACAAATAAAAATAAATGTACGACAGTTAAAAGAGAAAGGCAATAAGCGAGATAGAATAAAGATGTAATGTTTTAGAAGGGTGGGGCGGGGAAGGGGGTGGAAAAAATTGAAAGATAAATTTGATTAGAGAGATAGAGCACAAAGATTGAGATCGTTTGGATTCAAGCGGTGGGGGAGGGGGGTAGCTTGATGTGTGAGGGGCTGGGTGGGGGATAGGCAATGGGGGGTTGGGTGATGGACGGATGGTAGGCAAGAGGGCGTTGAGAAATAGGCGGATGGAAGTAGAGAGAGATGGGGGAATGCTGGACGAGTGGATGGTAGGCAAGCCATTGGGAAAAAATAGAATATAGGCAATAGATGGTGATGGATGTAGAGATGGACTGTAGGCAATGAATGGAAAGAAAAAAATGCAAGAAAATCAATTAATGTTAAAAAAGTTACGTAAAGTAAAGCCATGCTAATTAAGATCAGGACACTAGAAAAGCTAATAGGATAATCTAATTTACACGACTCTTAGGATCTCATGCAATAAATATGTGTATACGTAAACACATCTATCACAACAACAGCATACATTCTTCAATCGTCATTAGGCCGACAAGACTTTAATCAAAACACCAAACACAATACTGAAAGCGACACAGGCAACGTAGCAACAACATATTAGGTGACGTCAAGTTTTAATTAATTAATAATCCGCTAATGGCAACGCTAATGCAAATCAGGTAATTTGATTAGGCGAATGTTCAGGTAATGCGTGGAGGATCTATTTATACGTATGCCATCGTTGAGAGATATTAGTAATTAATTAATTAATTAAAATTCGCGTCTTAGTTAATTGTTAGGTACAACATCGCGAGTTAATTTTAATTACATTGTATGTGCTGTTATGTAATGCCGTTAAAGGTTACAAGGTAGTGGCGTATCTAGGGTTATTGGTGGGGGTGAGGGTAAGGTGGGCTACAATATTCGTGTACAAAACACAACAACCCTATATCAACCACACAACTCTGAACCAACCACACAACAACCCTGTACCAACCACACAACAACCCTGTACCAACCACACAACAACCCTGTACCAACCACACAACAACCCTCTACCAACCACACAACAACCCTGTACCAACCACACAACAACCCTGAACCAACCACACAACAACCATGTACCAACCACACAACAACCCTGTACCAACCACACAACAACCCTGTACCAACCACACAACAACCCTGTACCAACCACACAACAACCCTGTACCAACCACACAACAACCCTGAACCAACCACACAACAACCCTGTACCAACCACTTAACAAACCCTGTACCAACCACACAACAACCCTGAACCAGCCACACAACAACAATGTACCAACCACACATCAACCCTAGATATTCCAAACCATGGCGATTTGACCACAATCCCCCACACAACTACCCCCACACATCCTCACATTTACCACACAACTATACGCTCCGATAAACATTAATCCTCACACATCTGCAAGCTAATCACCACACGCCCCCCCCCCCCCCCCAAACACTCAACCCACCCTTAAAATAAAATGATAATTATCGCCCCTCCACCAGGGATAACGAGACAGCGAGACCAGGAAGGGTTGGCAAGGGTTGGCCAGGAGCGTCCTAATTGGCAACCCTTCACGCTAGAATTGCCAGGTTTCCCACCCAAGTACCACAGAGAGGAGATATCTATTTTTAGCTAGCAACCCCCCACCCCCACCCCAATCAATATCTAGTGTTGACCCAAGAACCTTGTACTTTAAGACAGAGGATAAACACTTTAAAACTTGGGAGTCATTTAATTAGCGGCACGGGGGCTAGTGTCTAATTAGCTAATTAATTTGTTAGACACACGAAGAGCTCATACAATACTAAATCATGCATGGAAACTGAAAACTTGGATACGAGCAATAAAATAATTGAAAAAATACACACACACACACACAAACATATATATATATATATATATATATATATATATATATATATATATATATATATATATATATATATATATATATAGGTTCGTTGGAGATTAGGTAACAAATCAGTAAAAATACAACAAGAGTAGTTTAGCTTTGGTTTGCTATTATTTAAGTTGAAAACTGTGATTCGTCGATGTTTTTGTTAAGGTTAGGTTCGTGGGGAGGGTTATTGTTTAGAACCGTTGCTGAACGGTATGTTATGAAATTAAAGTTTCTGAAGAATTAAGGAATTTATTCCTGAATTATTCTTAAGAAAGCTGCCAAAAAAAATCCATACCTAGATCTATTCTACTGTGGCGTGAATAAGCAAAGAAAAACAAAACTAAAACACAGTGCGATGTGCACAGATACCGATGACGTCATCAGACACGTACCTTTGGGTAATTTGGGACGTCTCTTTTGAGGCTGATTTTCGTCTCGTCGGAAATGGGCGTGCTACAAAACGATTGGTTGGTGGTAATTGAGGTCAAAGGTCAATGCGTATCTTCGCTAATTACCGGAGTTTATAACATTCAAGTTTTAATGGTCGGGGGTTAATGAGGGTAACCTCAGGATTAAGGTCAAAATTTTATTACAATTAATTACAATTAATTCAACAAAATGCTAATCGTGTTTTTGAGAGTAAATATGTATTTGTTATGGGGCTTTAATACTAAATATGCAGTACCACTGAGATGTTAGCATTGAAAAAATAAATAAATAAATAAAATCAAAACAAATATTTTAAAGCAAAAGCTAAGCCATTCTTTAACCAAAACCAACGCTAATTGTTAGGGATCTCCTTGAAAAAAAACCCCAACTTTGATAGTTGACACGTGGTTAGAAAATTATTATTAAACTGGAATGGGGATGTGGGTTAGTCAGCGATTGATCTAAAGCCATGGCCTTGATTGGGTGTAATTAATTAGTGTGGAAGTTAGGATCTGCTGCTACCGAAACCCTGACCAAAAGCCTGACAGCTGACATACCAGCTAAATCTATGACGGCAATAAATAAGAACCCACACAATAGAAAAGTTTTTAGAGTATACGAATAGACATTGCTCAACACACTGTGTATAATTTATGGACATCAAAGACTGAAAGTGTGTTAATTTTTTCTGTAAGTATTTTTTTGTTTGGGTTGAAAAAGTGTAACTATAACATTTTAATAGGGGGGGGGCATGGGGGTGTGGTGTTTTGTGACAAGTCGTGGTGATAATCCGTATGAGAAAAACTATCGGCTAAATTGTGCGACGTTGTTGATAGAACATGGTAATTAATGCAACTATTTAAAACAAGACTTTCTCTATACTTCGTATATACGAGAAAGTAAAAATTTAAATGCAAAAAAAAAAAAAGAAAGAAAATAATCGTGTGGGACTCATAAATGTATTTTTTTTTACATCAGCAGCCAACGTCTAGATAGCCACCATTACGATGGCCAACTATTAATACGGCCATTGTGCTGGTCGGATGGTGCTGTGGCCCTTGTGGTGGCCAAATTTTTATGTGGCCACAATAATTAAAATGGCGATAACTATTTAAGGCCTATTTACATTTTTAAACATATACTGTTTGAGATTTTTAATTTTGTACCTTTAAAATTTTAAAACGCGGTTTTATTATGAATAATTAAACTAATTAGGTTAAAAAGAAAGCTGTTTCTATTGAACCATTTTAAAACTATAAACTACAAAGTCAAAAATTTAATTTATCGTAACTCATGATTTTAAAAAAAAGCGAATTCTATAAAAGTATAAATCAAAATATGAATTTTTCTAGACAACAAAACAAAACACCAAAGCAGATGATAAAAACAAAAGATAAAAGAGAAGTCCGATTTTTTTTAGGTTAAAATATTAAAAAAAAATAAAACGATTTTTCAAACTTAAACACAGGAAGTCGACAAAATCCTTATTCAACATCTTTCATTTTAATTTTAGCAACCTTTTTTTTTTGTAAAAACCTTTTCCCCCCAAATCCACAGAAGTGCATGAAACATTTTTAAAAACAAAAGTTAATTTAAAAAAAAATTCAATCTTTGACTTAAATTGTTTCTTTTCTTCTCTGAACTTTAAGCTGTTAATCAATTTATAAAGAGAGGTCTAAGATTGAATTAAAATTTCTTTTTAAAGAGATGTCCAATCGCGTAATGTCTGTAGACCTACTAGAGGACTTCTCAATTATAATATTTTGAAATGCATCAAGCGCAAGCGTGCAGTGTCTATGCGAAAGAAGCTTTTACTATTAGCAGGAGGATGCATTGTTTAAAGCAGACAAAATAAGCTGTGCATGGCTTTAAAAATGGATGGTCTTCGAGAAAATGAAATGTACTGTTTCTTGTTATACAATAAGTGATTAATTAAAACATATTTTTTAAAAACTTTAAATAATTATGTAAGATTTCATTTTATTGAGAGAAAAAATAAAGTTAACCACGTAAATCTATTCAGGAAATTTAACATTAATTTATAATTTTATATTTAACACACTTTTTTTTCCAGTTTTTAAAGTATTTTTAACGGCCAATTAACTTGAATAATAATAATTTTATGAAGTAACTTTTTAATTATTTATTAGAAATATTCTTTATAATTCAATATAATTAGCTTTGTTAATTAAATCTATAAAATTTTGTATCAAAATACAATTTAGATGCAAGTTAACGCGAGCCATATTTTGAAGCCGTGCACAAGCAGGATGTAGATTTTTGACAGGGCGAGTTGCGCATGTCATGACCTCTAACCTTAGGATAGGAGGGAATGTCTCGTTTCAGACTTATCTTCCTTTCGTCGCTTAGGGAACTAAAAAAATGATCGCAAGAGCCACTGGTCAGTATAGGCCTAGGGATGTGCAATGATGAGATAAAAATAGAATTATAAAAAAAGTTACAATGATAAAAACTTAAAATAAAATAAAACAGTTAAAAAACATCCAGTGTTTAACAAAATAAAATAAAATGTAAACATAAAATTCTAAATAACCACGATATTTTAGCAAAAACTAAAACATGAAAAATAACGTGTGAAAAAAATTAAAATATTTTTGTGGATAAATGAAATATCTACATTAAAAAAAAACTAGAAGGCTGACAACGCAATTAATAACATAACAGACTAAAATAAACCTAATTAGAAATGGTATTAGGCTTAAAATCACGTTCCTATTTATCAATTGGTTCGTGGGTTTAACTACAAATTTGTTGAAGTTTTAAAGTTTAAACATTTCGGTTAAATTGAAACAGTTGACTTAAATTTCCGTCCGGATCTGAACATTAAACATATAATCCTATTTAATGACCGGTTCTTATTTCATTTTTTGAAAAAAAAAATTCTTTGAATGTGAAAACATCGTTCTATTTCTTAATAATCGTTTTACACAATAAGTTATTTTAAATTTACATATAGCAACCAGATCTATACGTATATTCAGATATTTAGGATTTATATTTTAAATATTTTTCAGATTTGATAAACTTGCTTTTGAATGCTCAATTTAAAAAAAAAATTGAATGCATCAGAAAGTAAATGTTTTTTTTAAAAATAGGAATAAGCCTCTAGTAAAATCAATAATGAAAAATCTAAAGCATTAGCCAACAATTAACATAAGAAATAAAATTGCTAATCTAAAAACGAAACAAAAAAAATAAAACTGAAGGTAACTGAGTACAATCTAAAACTAAGAAATCTGATTGGTTGAAAAAACTAAACTGAGAAATATGATTGGTTGAAACTAAACGGAGAAATCTGATTGGCTGAAACTAAAATGTGGTCAAAAACTCACTCGTCCCCCTCATGGCTGAGATATCAAAATCAGATAATGAGTTTAATTACAATTAGTTCGACATCAAGCTTAATTAAGTCTAAAACTCAACCTCCTATATAATTTACTGTTGGCACGAATCGTAGTGCCTTCGTTGCAAAAGGGAGAAAACCAACTCCAAACCTCCGCGATTAGAAATTTAAAAAAAAAAAACTTTTTTTTTCAATTTTCCAATCTGTTTTATTCAGCAGACGACAAAAGAAAATGATAGCTCCACCTAGCGGATGAATGTCGTGTCTGTGTGCTAGTCCAAACATGCTGACCTCACGACCCTGTCCATGTTTAAGGTGACATTTTTTTTTTCTTATGGTTGACAAAAAAAATTTAACGAGAAAATCGGAAATTTAATTTTCTACTCCCCCCCCCCCACCTCATCACGTTTTTTTTTGTTGTTAGCGACGAGTTTAATTTGAATAGAAATTTGTGTCTCGGAGATATCTTTCTTTCAGGGCCAGTCAACGTGAGGATGGAAATTGAAGTCAAAGAACTAGAAAAATCTATGAAACATTTTTTTTTGTATATATATATATATATATATATATATATATATATATATATATATATATATATATATATATATATATATATATATATATATATATACATATATATATGTATACATATATATATATATATACGTATATATATATATGTATATATATATATATATATATATATATATATACATATATACATATATATATATACATATATATATATATGTATATATATATATATATATATATATATATATATATATATATATATATATATATATATATATATATATATATATATATATATATTGATCGCACGTTGGAGTAAAATAGTCGTAACCAATGTTTTAAAAAGCCTGTTTTCCATTTCTTTATTATTGTATTTTATTTTAACCGTGATTTATATGTATTTTTTTAAAATAAAAACTATTATCTGTATTTTAATTTTGATTTTATTAGAAATTTCAATTCGTAATTCAATTTTATTTTATTAAAAACTTTGATAAAAACTTTAATTTGCATTTCAATTTTTTTCTATCACAAACTTGGAGAGATCCTAAACGAGTTATTTTCAACAATTACTTTCAAACAGAACCAATTTAACATGTGAACAATTTGTTTAGTACTTCAGAGTTGATTCATTTTAGCTTTGCCGCGAAAGTTTTTTAAACTTCTAAACAAGGCCGTGATTTAAAAGAGACAAAAATAAATTCAATAAAAAAAATCTGGGCATTTTAGAATTTTATTTTTAAAAGTTGTTTAGTTTTCTATTTAGTTTTTTAATTTCAAAAATGTTTTCCAGTGAACTTTCTGCTCAATTAAAAAAAATTTTTTTAAAACTTACTTTTAAACTTAACTCGTACTTCTGTTCATTTAAAAACTTATTTGAGAATTTGAACATTTTGTTTGTCATGGTGTTATAAAACAGTATTTTAAAAAATATTATAACGTTAGACTTTAAACAAAATAAGCGTCATCTAATTTTGTTCATCAGATATTGTTGTGCTCTGTAGCGTAGGCTTTTATTATGTGTATATATATAATTATAACCCCACCCCAACCCAACCCAACCCTTATTGAACAGCACTCAGCCTATGCCACTGGTACTATCTCTTGTGTGATAATTTCTTTTTCTAGCCTTATGGGAATTACTACAGTTAGCCTCAATCTGACACCATTACATATTGTATGTCACCAAACTACTTCCCCCTCTAACCCCCCCCCCCCCCCGCCGTTTACACATTTAGAGATATCCACCCTCATACTTCTTTCCTTGGCTTAGCTTATGCTTTCTCACAAATCTTATGGGGTGAAAAGTTTAACTCTTAGTTAGCCATGGATGAAAATCTATCTTATTATTAGACGTAATACATGTTTTACTTATGTCATATTCATTATGTATCATTATAGATTTTAGCCAATTTACTATAACAATACTTGTGTTACTAGTTGTCAAAGAATTGTATAAAAGCTGGTTATCACTAAACATACCTTAATCTATTGAAATCAACATAATCCACTAACATACCTTAATCTATTGAAATCAACATAATCCACGATCATACCTTAATCTATTGAAATCAACATAATCCATTAACATACCTTAATCTATTGAAATCAACATAATCCACTAACATACCTTAATCTATTGAAATCAACATAATCCACTAACATACCTTAATCTATTGAAATCAACATAATCCACTAACATACCTTAGTCTATTGAAATCAACATAATCCACTGATATACCTTAATCTATTGAAATCAACATAATCCACTGACATACCTTAATCTATTGAAATCAACATACTTCTTTTGTGCGTTCCATAGCTGGTCTCGAATATAAGAGATCTCTGACTTGCATTTCTCGATCTCTACAGCCTTAAGGCCCTCGACTGGAACAAGAAATAGAATTGTGAGGGAAAGTTAACTTTTTTTTTAATACTTTAAGGGGGGTCTAGTAGTCAAAATCAAATTTTGTTTTCAATGATGAAATAAATGGTTTTATTATATATTAATAACTTCAAGTACCTTATAGTACACAAAAATGTACTTATTGGAGCAAATTTAAGACTTTTAGTACTTTGATGAAGGTTATCAGGGTCGAAACGATCAATTTTTACATATATGGTAGAATGTAAAAAACACATTACCTACTAATGCCAAAGCAAAACAAATTTGTATATGCATAGAACTCATTGCCATGAATTAGTTGTTAGAACGAAATTGTGATATCTTTAAAAATAAATTTTTATTGAATTTTTTAAAATTCATGTATTATTTATTCACGCTTTTCGTGATGAAATATTCTTTTAAAAAATTATAACTTGTTTGTTATATTAAAATCAGCAAAATTGCTCTAAGACATAATAGAAAAACATAATAGAAATACACTGTGGAAATTTGAAGTGATTCTGACAGACACATCTTAAGTTATATCCATTCCTAAGACACTACTGCCTTAAAATTGACAAAATGGAGAAACGGCAAAATTAAAGTTTAATGACAAAATATTTTATTATATACATATGTCTATAGCCAAATCAATGCAAGAAATTGATAAAAAATCCAATTTAAAAAAAATATAATTAAAAAACAAAGCAGCCTAGAAAATAAATGTTTAAAAAAAAATATTACAGCAATGACACTCCACACACCCAAAAAAAAAAAAAAAAAAAAAAAAAAAAATCTAAAAATTTCCTGCACTATAGCTTTTACCCCCCTCAGAATTAAAAAACTGCTGCTCTACAATCAGCCTTGCATTTACTATCTGCTTTCTTCTTCTCTTTGCCTCTATTCCCTCCTTCTTTTCAGCTTTGCTAACCCGAAGAATGTCTCGTTTTTTTCCCTTCTTCAAAGTTACACCTCCAACTTTGCAGCCAATGTTCTCAAGGAATTGGTGGAGACCGACACTCCCTGAATTAAATTCAGCAATTGACAATGCTGTGCCCACTTCCACTCTTTTTTTCGACACAAAGATGTGTTTTGGTATCCTCGCCCAAATCTTTGCGTGGATGCTTTCATTAGCATTCTGCGTCATGCCAGATAAGCAGCGTTCAAGCAAACTGTCAGAGGTGAGCCTCTCATATATGGGCTTTACCTTCTCAGCCACAACCTCTGACAGAAAGCAGCTGCTTTTACCTGCGTGTGAAGGGGGTGTTTGCCCTAGAGCCATGGCTCTCTGCCAAAAGCACCAAGACTGAACTCCTGTGGGACAGTCATGATGGTTGGGCACTTCGTCAGAGGAAGCTGCATGGTAGAAGCTCATGAAGATTTTTTTCCTCAGTTCTTCTACATTTGAACATTTACTCGCTACTGCCTTCTTGTAATACCTCTGGAGAAGGTTCATCTTTGCCTGTAAATTGAGGAATATTTTTAAAAATTAAAATATGTTTACAAAATAAATTGTCACTTTAGCAAGGAACATAAAATTGAAAATCCTGACAATATTTGAAAAGGGTACTAACTTGTGTTAGGCTTCCAGCTTTCCGTCCACCTATCGTCCTACCATTCTTTGCTTCTGCAGCCACTAGGTTTCTTAGTGCCGTTCCTAACCTCTTGGACACGTGATTGGTGCACTCCTCTTTTGTTATAGGCACATCATAGGGTGACAGAGACAGAAGCTCGTTGTACGTCTTGCAGTCTCCGTCACTTACAAATTTAGTGTACCGTAGGCCATTGTCCTGGGAGCGTTTCCACATAGTCTTGGCCGCTTCAGCTTCCATCAGACCAGAGGATCCTGTGTGGTTGATGTTGCAGTCTGCCTTATGATCTTCATACCACTCTTGGTAGGCAGCAAGGCTTTCACTCTTCTTAGTGCGGCCTGTTGTAGAACACAGCTGAAAAAAAAAGAATTTGGTCTCTGTAAGCAAAAACAGTTCATACGTCTTTTTAGGAAATAATTTTAACTAGTGGATGCCTAATAATTACACTTACCGGGCAGTGTGTGGACATCACATGAAAATCAACTGCTAATCCAGTAGTGGTTTCTATTACAACTCCTAGTCCATGCTTGGATGTATGGCCTCTCTTATGCCATGTACCGTCAAAGCTTACAGTCAGGTCGAGTGTGTCTGCACCCCCTGAGCCATACTTCTTTTTCACAGTGTGAATGGCATCTGCCTTGACCTTCTCTGCAAACACTAGGTTTTTAGCATGAATGTCGTTTAGATGGGCAGTGTAGGTCTTACATTCCATGGAGTCCATTCCCATGGCCTCGCAGAAAGCATTCATTCCAGCATATCCAACTCCTACATTCAAAAATGAAGCTACCAGCCGCCTGTTGATCTCATAATGCTTGCTCTCTGATAGTGTCTTGGATGTTGCAGTGCTGGCATGAAGCATTTTACATTTAGAGCATGCAACCCGTAGCATCAACACAGAGCCAGCTCTCTTCTCACACGACAGTACAAGCTTTTCAAAGCAGACATTGCAGCTTAGCTCACTAAATAGGTTACCCAGATTGCTAAGGTCAACCAAGGCATAAGTTGACAGTGTGTCGTTTGTAGGCACTTCAACGTCAGGTTTCTCTTGTGATGAAGAAGCAGCAAAGTTAAGCTTACGCTTTGATGCAGATTCTTTTACAGGAATAACAGTGTCTTGGCTGCTGGTTCCTGGAGATTCAACTGGAACTGCAAGTGCATCATGCTGCATCTGTACTTTCTTTGCAAGCTTGGCAGCCCTTGCTTTGGCTAAGCCAGCTTTCTTAGAACGGGTGGTGTGTTTGGCTCTTTGAGTAGCAACTTGTTTGCTGGGTGCCATTTTACTGGAAAAAAAATTATGATAAAGTTTAGGAGTCAATCAACATTAGATTATTACTGATGAAAAATTAAAATTTATCTAGAAAACCTATAGATTAGATCTAGATATCACAATGCTGCATTGAGACAGCTAATGTAGATCTAGACTGATCTAGAAGTAGACTCTAGCTAGATTCTAGATCTAAATCTAGTCTATCTACTGTATCTAGATCTAGATTCTAATAATATAGATCTACTGACTGTACTGACTACAGCTAAGCTTAGACCTAGATCTAGATCTCTAGATCTAAATCTAGTTGTCAAATAAATCTAGATATTAGATAATCTAGAATATATCGTTATCTCTTAGATTCTAAATTTAAAAAATGATTGTTTCTAGACTCTAGATCTAGAATCTAGTCTAGATCTAGTAACTAGCCCAACTCTAGCAGTACTCTAGCAGTAGTACTCTAGCGTCTAAAGTAGACTAGATCTAGAGACACCAGACATCTAGATCTAGAATCTAGATCTAATATCAATATTCTACTATTCTAGACTAAAAGATCTAAATAAAAATAACAATTTTTCAAAAAATTTACCTTGCAATTGTTTGAAACAAACAAAAAATTGAGCAAAGCTTGAAAAATGAGTAGTTTGAACAGCGTGCGCAGATATCAATCGATAAGATAAGATGGCGGCGTAAGTAAACCAACGCGATGCATGACGGTCCGTAGTTAACCAACCGATGGCCTCATTTTCTAAGAATAGTGTATTTATTTATAACTGACCAATGATAGTACAGATTTTATAAAGTTAGACAAACTAGGGGGCTAGTGACGTATTTCAAATTATTTGTGCTCTTTCTTAGGCACATCTATTTTTAGCAAAATAGGTCAGCAAGATGGTCGCTTGGATTTGCTTCAAAACGATACCTTACACGGCTTATTAGCAATTATAGGAATAATGTTGCATGGTCGTAACTATGGCCGATTTTGCAACTTTCGCAGTTCGTTGAAATTCTATCCTAGACACATGTTATTCTAACTCAATTTTAGTAATAATTGCATCATATTTTTGATTATTCAATAGGGGAAATGTGTTTAGAAGAGGTTGATTTATAAAAATATGTTTTTATTAAAAAACTGAGTTTTTATGAAAAAATCATCATTTTTGAAGAAAGTTGACTACAGGTCCCCCCTTAATTTTCAATTTTTTTTTTTTTTTTTTAAAGAAATAAAGTTTGTAGAGAGATCAAATGGAGAAAATCTATTAAAACAAGTAGGCCTACATAAAAAATTCATTGAAGAATTAGGTGGAAGGAGCACCTTACGTTTGAAACGTTTTCTTAATGAATAAATATACCGACTAAATATTTACAGGTCTGATTGTATAGACTATACGTTTTCAAAATAAATAAATACATAATGGCTAAATTTTCCATGGCTTAATATAGGTAATACAAAAATTTAATAATTACAGGAGAAAAGAAACTATAAACAACACTTTTTACAATCAGGTTACAATGAGGAATGTTAGGTTGTGTCTTGTTAGTTATTGTTACTTCCCTTGTATTTTATACAACGTAGTTATATCCCTTGAGCGTGTAGTATGTGTGCGTTTGACAGTAATTGTAAACAAGAAGTAGCACTCTACAGGCTTAATAAAGTGTTAAAGTAAACTTTATAGCGTCTACTGTTGTATTGTAAGTACAAGGAGTTGGGTAATGTAGCGTTGAGAGGTTTGTGATTTCTACATCAACAAAATATAATACATCTTGTGACTGAACTTGTCCAGTTTCGTCACCCAAATTAGAACGGGGTGGAGTAGCGGTGAGGAGGGTAGGTTGGGGGTTGGGGGTGGGGCGGTCTGACTAGAGTCGTCTTGTGTAAACAGATATATACACACACACACGTACACACATGCACTTATACGCACACATATACAAGAATAAAGTATACACGTATATATCCTTTCTATGCTGCACATCTTTTCGCCCCCACTCATTAAAAAAAACTAGTTCTCTCAGCTACCTGTTTTTTGTTGTTGGTTTTTTTTTTTACACTTAAATCAACTTTCATTAAAAAAAACCATTAAAGTTAAAGAAGCGTCTTTCAAAGATTTCCTTTCCATATTTCTATTAGCTTTTGAAAAGGGTG